GGACAAATTAGTTCCACCCAGGCTCCCAAACACTGAATCACATTCAGATATTTTAAAAATCAGCCTTTTTTTCTACATACCTCTCCCTGACTCGAATTCAAGCTCCAATGTTATGTTCTTCTGTATGGATTGAAATTACGTACATATATTTCATCTTGAAGTTCCCGATGTGAAAACACAGTTACAGTATGGCTGTGATTGCCTCTGCAATGGAACACAGCAGAGTGTTTTCAGAAGCAGAATAAGATTTATTCTATGATGTCAATTCATTCTGAGAGTTACTGTAAGTACTGTCCAACACATTTTGTTTCTTAGTCATGACTTGGGGCTGACAGGAAAACCAAAACAGACAAAAGCTCTTCAAACACTTTTTTGTTCTTAATTACTTTTTTATTTGATTAAATTAAGGGGGAAAAGAAAAAAATATATATATTCTCAGGAGGTTTATGGTGGAGCCTGTTATTTTTTTTAGATTTGCTTAAATAACCACAGTCACGGCCACCATAATTGGGTCCAACTGCAGATCTGCCTGTCAAACAATCAGGCCTCATTTTGTTTTCCATGGCAACCAGCCCCCTCACTTCCTGTAGCTGTGCTGGCTGGTACTACAATCCTGTGATGTCACCATCAAGGCAAGTGAATATGATGCCACAATGAGAAGTCACATTCAGAGCTGTGATGGTGCTTAGAGACAACTATCAGCCAGGGTTGTGTCCTGTGGCTCTCGGTGGTGTTTGAGGGCAGGAGTAGTGCTGGCTCTGTGCTTGACCACACGCCCCCTGCGGCCATTGAGAATCACCATGGCAGCGCCCTCCATTTCCTCCAAGTCGATGTGAATGGCCTCTGCCATCTCCCGCTTCGTCACAGCAACAAACTTTGGGTCTCGCGCAAGGACCTCCAGGCCTCCCTCAATGAGGACCTGTAGTTGGGACATACAAGGTAACTCAAAGGGTGCCTGCTGAAAATGGAAAAACTTGCATCATACTCACACTGCACCCCTACCGAAAAAGGTCAGGTTCTGGCAAAGGCTAAGGCTCCCTCTTTTGAGTTCAACTGGTTTTATAAAACCTTTGCACACAAGAAAAACCCAACAAACCTTTACAAAATGTCACCTTAGCTCATACAGTGGCATTAGGTGCATTAATATTCTCATCGACCTGAGAGTGCTCATCTGCTATGCAACAGCATGCGATAGTTAACATACCGTAACGGTTAAAGAGCAAGTGTTGTTTGGCTGTTCAGTCATGTGACCCTTACGGCTATGCATAACTTTGCACTGACCTCCTGAATGAGCTGGTCAGTGGCCGACACTGGACGGCCGCGATCCCCTGTTGCATGCTCAGAGCTGCGGCTGCAGGTGCCAACAGACATGAGCTCGCTCCTGCTCTCTGAAGGATGGTGAGGAATCTGCACCCAGAAATACAGGTAGGATATTACAATCCTGGCTTTTCTGCATTGTTTTCTGGAAGTACTGTCTCTCTTGATTCCATGGACTGTATAGGATGCCATACCTGATTCCATATAAGGATTGCTCCCTACCCTCTCTGTCAATAGGTGTGACTAGCACCTACTTGCAGATGTATTCGGAAAGTCCAGCTATAGAGCATTTTGTACATAACAGGTGGACCTTTGGATTGAAGTGATCCACCTGTAACAATGGATCAATGGACTGTAACAATGCGTCCCAGAATGCTCTTGTTTAATGACAATTAGCAGCCTTCTGTCAGTCCACAGAAACAACATCTTTTATTGGTACAGTAGGTCTTATTGCATCCAACATATATATTTTGCTGAGCTAGGTGGAGATATAGATCAGCACACTTGTATTCATAAGAGTTCACTATGAACTTGTATGAAGGGTGTCTGGTCCAGTCCAGTAAGCAGAAGCAGTGTTTCGGGATCAGTGAGACAAGTGCTGTGTTTGTTGGCACCTGCTCTGTGATGCTCTCCTTTGGGATCTGGGAGAAGAGGTTGTCTTTGTCGTCCTGTTGGTCTGCACAGCTCCTCTTGAGTCTCGGCTCTCTTGCTGCACCAGATACAAAATGAAGCCTGATTGAGTACGACAGTTCCCCACACAGTTCAAATTAGGCACCACAACTTTAACAATACTGGACACCGATGATAGGAAAACGTGCTGCTTAAAAAGCATTAATTCACTGGACCTGTTGGCACAGTTGGAACAGTTTGCTATATTAAGCAGCCTAAAGATCCTGAGCATGGTCAGTGTATTTTGACTATAGCCAGCTTGATGAATAATATCTACAGTATGAGGTGATAAAGTTACAGAGACACAATAACATTTACAAATGAAAGAATGCCATTTGACCCACCTTACTGGCTTGGTTACCTGTAAATAATTGATCCAGGGATTTCACAAGGTTATCAGGTTATCACCTCAAGCAGCATGATGGGATAGTTTGTTCCAGATTCTTGCAGCCCTTACTCTATAATCACAGAACTGGGAAAGCCCATTGCAGAGTGCCAAGGTCAATTTAAACTATTGGAGTAGAGGATGCTTAGGTTATGAGATTTCCATTTTTAAATATTGACAGAAAGCTGACCTGGTTGTGCTTGTCTTTTCTTTCGGGTGTCTGTTTTACTCTTGTCCGTCTCCGCTGTCAAAGGGAGCTCCTTGGTCATCTCATTCTCGACCGCAAACCTGCAGGAGGAATCACAGAATCCACTGGACTGTTCTGCCTGAAGTGCATTTTGGAATGTGTTCTCTGCACAACGGCACATTGGTTAACATTGCTGTAAAATGTTAATGTAAAATGTAAAATAAAAAGATGCATAGCAGTCCAGGTTGAACACAATTAATTCTCTAACATTTCCATAGGATATACAAGGGATGGAAAGACCTGCTGTAAATCACATTGACAAGTCTGTGTATGACTTGCCTAGGCATTTTGTTCAATAATGTGCTTTGTGCAAAGGATACACAAAGAGACACATAACCTAAGGGTGAGTGAAGAGCCATTGTTGCAGAGGATTTAGAGCCTTACAGTCCAGCGGGTAGTGGAAGAATATCTCTAAGGGAGCTGGGTCAGAGGACTCACCTTTCTGCAGCGTTGTTGTTGGTGTTGCTGTTGGCGTTGTTGGTATTTCCCTGGGGGAAGAACTCTGTGTTGGGCAGGAAGACAGAGTCAGGGGGTGACTCGATGTCCTCTGGGCGGTTGTCAGCCAGCTGTAGGGGCCGGTGGCTGGTGACATTGGTAGGGAGCGGGCTGCTCCTCTCTAGGGGAAAGTGGTCCACATGGTTGCCAAACAGCCCACCTGACCGCTGGAGGAAAGGGCAAAGGGCAGAGGTTTACTTAAAATGACTTCATGGATTTCAGTATTAACATGCCATGTTAGGAAATGGCTTTGTCCATTCCTTCCTTTTTTTTCACATCTTTTAGTATTATTTGATAAAATGGTGCTTTCCGTGAGTTTTCATGATACCCTAATGAGGTACTATATAAAAAATTAGACAAAAACTGTTTAGGATATCAATCATGAAGAAGTGATTTCTTAAGAGTGGAACCAGACTTTAAGGAAAGGTGGACTTTTATTAATAGCCAGAAAATGCATCACGACATTTAAATCATAAGTGAGCTGATACGATTTAAGAAGAGTTGTGTAAAATATGCTTCACCCTACACTGTAAGTCTACAGGTGTCATGCTTCCTCCCTGTGCTCAATTCCAAAACACAGGTCTTACAGCCATCATGTGGACAGCATCTAGTCCTTCTGTGGTTTGTATGGTGATCTGTCAGTCGATGGTTAATGAATATTGATACCAGTAACTTGTTCATTTTCATTTCTGGCACAGGTAAGATTTGTCTGTAACAGTCTGTGGAATTGTAGGAGTTTCCTTGTCTATTCCACGGCTCACCCTGTAGAAGCCATGAAGTTTATCAGCAATGCCCTGTGCAAAGAATACACACTGTAGATGGACTGTAGGTGCCCTGTAGATAATCAGCAGTGTCCTGTAGTTTATCAGCACTGCCTGGTGCTCACCCTGTAGATGCCCTCCTCCATGGCTGCATCCTCCATGGCTCTGTCCATTTCCTCTTCAGCTGTGAGGTCTCCTGAGATGGCCCGCTTGAGCTCTGGGGCCACCTCCTCCTCAATACTGCGCAGACCAGCCTGGGGGAGGACAGAGGGGTGCAGGAGGGTATTGTGGGGGGAGTGGGAGGGCAGAGGTGAAAGAGGAGAGAGGAGGTGAAGAGAATGAAAGGGGGAGAGTGGTGGGAATGGGGAGAAGACACAAATGAGAAATTGGAAAATCAAGGCGGCATCCATATACTATATCAAAGCACCACAGAAATGAGGGTCTGCAAGGTCGGGTTCTCTCCGTATTTCCCACCTGTATCTCCACAGCATTCTTCCTGGTGGGCCGGTAACCATAGTACTCCTCCTGGCGCTTCATGAACTTCCGGAAATGATCCTGGATCAGGAAGGTGGCGTAAAACTTCCCCACAGTCACCTCGTCATCTGCAAGCCACAGAGACACATGTCATCGGAAGACCCAAGGCTACACTTGGGTGGGCAAGTGCTTTGGGCTTATGCTTTGAGTTTTTCCCAGGAGAGACAAGTGTGAATGTTTCTTTAGATACATTTGTGATACACTAAATCACTTTGTGACCCAACAATCTTGCTAAGAGATGCAATAAAATTATAACATTTAGAAGTTGTGACATAGCTGATGTAGGTCTCACCCTGATTTTACCAAGATTAAACCTTCCTTGTACCAGGATCTCAGATTCCCTGTGCTGCATGTAATCATTCTTGTCTAATTTTGCTTGCACTTCACTGAGCACATCTCTATTGCTGCTTGTCTGTAGTCTGCTGCATTTTGATGGCTCTCTGCACTCACCACCAATGGGGGGGATGACCTGGTCTAGCAGCTTCATACTGGTGCGTTTCCAGATCTTCTTGATGATGGCTCTCAGCTCCTCGTTGGACTGCTCAAAGTTACCTGCCCAGAACACACCAGGAAGCCCCCGTTAGCACAGCAGCCCTCTGCAGTCACATTAAACATGGCTGACACAGCTGGCTGAAATGTAAAAGTGTAGGCTAAATGTAGAAGTAAAGTTCACTAGACAAAGAAGACTATACTGAAGGCTAGGAACATTTTCAGAGGTGGACACAAATTGTCCACCCTCTGCTGAGAAAGCAAAGTCTCCCACAGCACGTTTTCTTCACTGCAGCTCATCCTGGGGTGATAAAGTGAAGCACTGAAGAGCTTCCCAAGAGGACAGGGCAGCACAGTCACTCATATCTGCTACATTGTAAAAGTAGCTTCTGATCCTCAGCTAAGTTCTGTAGTGGTTCGTCTTGCAGGTGCTTATACCTTCTGTCTTGATCTTGAGGGCGGTCCTCACCAGGGCAAACAGGGTGGCATTGAAAGTGACCGTGCCATCGCTGTTGAGGGGCATGTTCATAGACACCAGGCGCTGCAGGGAAATAGTGTACAGATACAAACTTTATTATCAATTTATGAATGTATTAATCCCAGAAATTTCACGCTTTGGTTAAATACTATATATTGTGTGCCTGGTTTCTATCTGGATCTTCTCTGTAGTTCAATAAGATAATTCTTTTCTGACCAGAGGTTTTAGCTTTACAATATTGTACATTTGCTTTCAACAAGCTAGTACAGGTTGTTAACCTGCCCAAATAATTCCAGCAATGATTTATTTAACAGCCGAAACGTTATGTTTCTTTTCTTCTCTTTTCAGCACGGAATAAACCTTTACCTGACTTTTACTTTACTTTACCTTAATTCCAGAAATTTTGATGAATGTGGATGAGCTCTCATGTAACAAAACAAGGTATGAAATCCAAATTATCCAAATCTCAAGGATCTCACATGGATTCAGGAAAGATTGTATAATGCTTATTGAAGGGTCTTGTACAGGGGTCCTGCATCATAACAGACTGACTTCAGCTGCTTTTAGTTTAAACAAACTCCTTCTTGGACTCCCTTTTTGACAAACTTCAGTTCCAAACTGTGTTCAAAAATGGATAAAAAGTTGCCCCCTTCCCAAGATAAAGAAGTGAATGTACAAGAAACAATGGAATATTCCTTTTTTGGGGGGTGTTCACCAAGTGGGAATCATACTGTCTTACTGGCTTTGTGCAGTGAAGTATTCTCTAAGTGCTATTTATTCAAAACTGAAAATTTTAAATTATAATAAAATAAAAATGTTTTTTCTCCCTCTGGCGGGCACTTAATAATAACACCCCAGTGAATTTATCCTTGAAGAATAACACAAATTATTCTCATGTCTTTACCATATAATTTGTTTCTTTATTGTATAGTATTTTTTCCTTTAGACTAAAATGTCATTATCAATTACCAGGTGTCCTCTTGGAGACAGACTCTTTACAAAGCTGAGCTCACCTTACAAGCAACACGGTGAGGACAGAATTTGCCAAAACCCAGAGGCGGCTGAATCCTCCGTAGCAGAGTCACTACATCTAGATGCTTGATGCGCCCCCTGCAGGTAAGGAGGATAAACTGCCATTACTTTTGGATTCTAAGAGTATTTGTCAGGATCATTGTGACGTTCAGAACCTTGGCACAGACATTCGGAGGCATGTAGTTTCACAAAGAATGGCAGAATAGAGTAGGTGAAATATGCAAGGTTAAATAGATGAGGCAATTTGCATTTTTCTCAGTTCACAGTCTATTTGCATTTTTCTCAGTCTGTTATCTATAAATATAGTGTATACTCAAAATGAATTATTATAAGGCTAAACCTTGAAATGTTCAACTGTTTAAACTACTGGAATTGTTAAAACTTTACAAAAGCCTCCCGATCTTTGTAATGGAGGATTTGGATCTAGGTTCCTTTGGTAGCGCTCTCATAGGACATTTAGATAATAGCTGTGGGCTCACTTGGCTTCAGGGTCATATTCTGCCCAGATCCTCTTGAATTCATCCAGATGGTGTGGGCCCAAGATGGACCAATCACGAGTCAGGTAATCAAAGTTGTCCATGATGACTGCCACAAACAGGTTGATGATCTGAGGAGAGAGAGCACCTAGGTGTTACCCCAGCTAGGCAAGAAACAACACTCTTGTGCACTTAGGCCAGAGTGCAAACAGTGCTGTTTGCATCCAGAAGCTAATGGGAACATTGAACTGTTGTCAGAGGGATCCATTCCTTTTACATTCTAGCACAAAGTGATACAAGGGTGCTTCTCTATATGACTGAACATTGATAAATAAATAACCTGCTGCTCTATGCAGATTACATGAGCTTACATCATACATGAGCTCTTGGAGGCATGTCTCTTAATGACATGAATACAAGAAGAATGTAACAATCCAATCCTATTGGAAGACAGAAAGGAGAAGCTCCATAAAACCCAAGTTCTCGTACGCACCAGGAAGGCACAGAGCATGTAGAAGCTGATGAAGTAAAAGACAGCGAAGCTGGAGCCGCAGGTGTACTCCTCTCCAGGCAGGAAGTCCGAGTTGGGGTCGCACAGCTTCCCGTACATGCAGGCCAGCATGATCTCCTGCCAGGCCTCTCCCGTGGCACACCTGGCAGGGCCGAGACAATCAAACACCAGAAAAAAAAACACAAAACCTCAAAATCAGAATCTACAGTATAAGTAACTTGAAATCCTCCAATGCTCGGGAGACGGCTTTCCGTTCTCATGGTCAAAGTGTTTGTCGAGTGGATTTGCTGCGAGCACAGGGACAAGACCACAGCAGTACGAGGACCAGTGGAGACTGCTGATCTTCTCCTGGGCGCGATATCTGTGCCAGGTGATCAGGAAGGGGCTCTGGGATTGCTGCTTCAGCTCCTCTGAAGCTCCCAACCTACCGGAAGAGTAACAGCACCGCCTGCGGGAACATCTGGAAGTTATTGTTGCGGTTGATCTGCGTGCCGTCCACGAGGGCGATTTTCCCAAAGACCTGGAGAGCAGAAACTCGGGATTATTCAGGAAGCCGGTTAGAAGAGGGCCCGGGTCACACCCACCCAGCCCAACCAAACCAAGAGAGAGGTGCCTACCTGCATCCCGATGACGGCGTAGATGAAGAACAGCATGACAATGAGAAGTGCAACGTAGGGTAGGGCCTGGAAAACAGCAGAGATACGCGGCCCAAGTCAAATCTCAATTACCTACTGAGGTAAATTGATCTCATAACTTATTCCTAATTGTTGCCTGTTATAAGTGACACATATTCCTAGTGAGTGTTTTGGATTCTTTACAAAAGTTCCTCGGTACATAGAAAGGTCTTTTAAATCCCAACATTTTGTTCCATTTTGCGTTAGAACAGGGTTCAAGGGGAGTTAGGCCTTCTAGCTTGCTCGAGGGTACATCAGCAGAGTCCCACCTGGGTTACTGCCTCTCAGAGAGGTATCATGATTTCGAGAGGATGTGAGCATCACTGTACGTGCTTCACCATTTATCCAGTGGCTTTTATTTAAAACATAATTTTGTCTAGTCTCGCTTCGTTCAAATATTTTTATACTGTTCTTGATTCGCATCTCACTGTGATGGTCGCACAGCACCTTCTGCTCCAGAGATGAAGCACCAGCTCAGGGGGGCTGTGGAGGAGAGAAAGATAGAAGGAGGAGGCCAGGCTCACCTGGAAAGACTTGATGAAGGTCCAGAGGAGAGTCCTCACACCCTCTCCGCGGCTCAGCAGCTTCACCAGACGCATCACTCGGAAGAGCCGGAAGAAAGTGATGGAGATGCGTGCGTGCTCCTCCGTGTCCTTGCGGATGGGGAGGGGTGGAGAAGGGTAGGTGGAGAGAAGACCCAGCAGAACTGAGATCAGCACCTCTCAACGTGCAGCCCCTGCCGGTCCCCACCAGTACAGGACTTGGGTGTGCTCTCAGCTCCTTGGTTATTGAATTGAGCTTGAGAGAAGATCCATCCACAATCTGAGCCAATCTAGGAGCTAGCTAAGAAGAAGTCCTGCAGTGGATTGGGATGGGAGGGGGCTGCATGTCCTGCCAAAATAAATCAAGAGAGACACAGAGGCACACCGGAAGGCCTGAGCCAGTTAGAGCGGGCATGTACTGTATTAGGATATCTGAGCCATCAAAGAGTCACCACGAGTGTGACTAGTTCAATACTGCAGAGATGAGTTTCTGCTTATTATTTGCTATTATTTAGACAGTCTAATTGATGATAATGCAATAGAAAAAAATCAACCCAATTTTCTTGGCTTGCGTTTTCAAAACCCATTTGTATGTTGTCCACTACTATGGAAAAAACTCTTTATATTTAACTTGCCTGACCTTTGCCTGTAAGCATTGTCCAGGTCTGTGAATTAGGCGAGGGATCACATTGTCTGTGTGATTGATGCTGGGTTCTGAGACAGCTATTTTATTTTGGAATAACATTTTAGGAATTTTCAGTGGAGGAAATTAACTGTAGAAAGCCCAACTGAATTTTGTTGTAAATCCAGTAATGCTGTCAATTACTTGAAAATGGAGAACACTGGGGTTCTGCAGCAGATATCCTGAGGACATGTGTGGCTCTTCCACTGCCAATCAGGACCTGCATCCTGCTTAATGGAAAACTCGCAGCAAAGCTCACAGACTTATCACAGATGCCCAAGGAAATCAAGGATTGGTGCAGGATTCCACCACAAAGACACAACTGGCAATCTGTGGACATTCTTCAGAGGAAAATAACTTTAAAAGTGCTGTTCACTCCCAAATGTATTAGTACAAAAACGATCAGCACTGACATTGGCATTGACTTGGCAAGTCACAGCTTGGGCACTGCCCCGCAATCAATTACAATGTAAGCGTTTCTTGTCTTCTAAATATTTTTAAGGTTGTGTACAGCACCTCACTACAGTATGTCCAATTCATTCTCCAGTGCTCCAGCAGTAGAGAATTTCTGCATTAAGGTCTGTAATGCAAGACAGTTCCAGTTTTCTGGCCGTGGTGAGTGACACCGCCATCTGCTGACCGTCTGCACTTCAGAACCACCTGGAGGACTTGCTGAGCTGTCCAAGCTGTGACAAGTCCCTACTGATCAGAAACACCACAGAACATCCGTAGGCTTTTCCTGACATTCTTCCTGGGATTCTCAATCCTCCCTGGCTGTTGCATTTCCTATGCTACCTGTGAATGTGTGTTTTCTCCTTGAACTTTACAAAGAAATGCCGATGTCCTAAATGATTGCTTCTGCATAAATGCGGGTGAATATCTAATCCCTTTCAACTCCAGGCTTAATGAGAGCATGACCAGTACATCCCTGTAGTCCCTTCAACAAGATGGAAATTGACCAAGTAACTTGAAGAATGTCCTACTGGCAGGATGTCTACAGTCAACACAGTTGAGAGTAGATACAACTGTGGCTCAAATGCAAAGGTATTTGTTAAATATATTATTGGTGAACCTGTTGGTGACAAAATAAACTTTGGCCTTTGCTTCAATTTCTGCTTTTAAATTAAGGAAGAATTAAAAAGTCAGTTTCATTTTAAAAACCAGACAGGGAAAAAATACAAACAAATGAATGCCGGAATATAATTTTGTAAGTGATGTCCATCACTAAGAGCAATTTCAGTCACGTATTCATCTGACAGAAGGACAGAATGAGCTGTAAACGTCACTGATGTTCTGCCGTGTTTCAGCATTCTCTGATTAATAATTATTAATATTAAGAGGAATGTGAGAAAGATCTAGTTGCTGTTTTAGCCTTGGTTTATGGAAAGGCTTTGCTTTAATAATTTGGTTAATATCAGACAAATCAGATTTCCGTAGCCTGAGAAAGTTAAACAAAGAGAGGTACCATACCCGCTGGGATGGAAAACAAAATTAAAATAATTCCCCTTAATGTTTTTTTTTCCTTTGGTTTTCTCATGTGCAGAAATGCGAAGTTCATTCTGGAGACACTTGCAAGACAACTGTAAACGACAGGTGACTTTAAAAAGCAAAAAAGTATTGGATTGCATAAAACTTACTGCCGCTGGAATGTCATTACTGTCCCCCTAAAAGTAATAATATATAGTTAGTTACTGGGAGCTGGAAATGTCTACTGACAGCTTGGTGCGCCTCAAATACTCAGGACACCCTTTTAATGTTTTTTTTTTAGAATAAATGTATTTTAGCACTTCAAGAAATAGGAAAATTAATATTATGAACTGAAACATCAAAATAATTGTAAAAAGTCACTTTCATTAGATTCTCACGTTGCTGTTCGCTTGTCATGTAGGACCGGTAACGTGCACTGAAAGTCGTTAAAAAAATTCTCTGCTCAAAGAATGCTAAGGTATAACAGGTAAGAGATGACAGGGTGTTTCTGCTTATGTCCCTGGGCTGTTCTCTGAGCAATTCACTGCAGAATCAAACTGTGCTCTGCAGGCCCCCCCTCAAAAAGAAGGGTGTCAGGGAAAAAGAGGGGAATGTCAGAAAAGGGCAAGAGATCCAACAGGAAGATAAGAACTGCAGGACAGTGCCCAAGGAACACTGGAAATACTGCGTCTGTGCTGCTGCTGCTGCCTGAAGTCCTGGCACAGTGGAAAGAGACAACATTGCATCGGTTCATCAAAGAGCTCTGTGCTACATTTATAGTCTCTATTATCGGAAGCGTTTATAAAGCAGCTTTGGTTCACCGCTTTAGAGTAACACTGTGCAGCTCTCCTGTGGGGGTTGGGGAGGAAACAGTGCAACAGCGATGATAAGGAATTCACCACATCAGAGACCTCCAGAAACTGCACGGGCAGAGAGCAGGAGTCAGGAGACTTTAGACATTTTACTGAAAATGACAGTTGGACAATAAATTGGACTGTTGGGTGATAAAAAGTAAAGAGCGCTTGTAAAATCCTTGGGCCTTTCTTGGGTGACCAAGACAATCGTACTTTGTTTTATTATGGTGCTTCTAGTGTGAAGGGTGTGTCAAGGGAGGGGAAGGTGGCGAGGAAGAGGGGCTCACTAAAATAACTGCACTGGGGCCCACGATAGTCACGTTCATCCACTGCAACAGCAACACCTTGATGGTCCAGGGTTCACCTGCTGAACCCATCAAATATTCTCCCTGCTACAGACCTTGTCTTGATACCATCATGTGTTGCAAAAGTGAGCCAAATGTACGGCTAACACCTAGAAAGGAGGTGTGGCATCTTCGATTGTCAGTGTGGGTGGAGACATTGTGAAGGTTATCACAGGCTGCAGGGCGAAGAGGAGCGCTGTGTAGGTTTAGAGAGCTCATTCTCCCAGTCCAGGATATCAGTTAGGTAAGAAAGACAATGAGAACTCTACAACACTGCACACAGACAGACAGCATGCTACACAAGACAAACTCTGCCTTCTTCACTTTATAAGGTGATAAAATAATGGACTTATATATGGCTTGATTCCATTACTGTAATCCAAAGGGTTACACAGTATAGTCAGGGTGACACCTCTTTTGATCAAAGAGCATAGATCTGGGGTTGCAAACTTGACCTCTCCACTATTGTGTCTGCTGAAGTTGGGAAACAGACTGTAAATCAAATGAAAGAGATCTATTACACAAAACACAGACCCTTGTTAATTTTGGGCTAACACTTGGAGAATGATAACATTTTTGTGTGTCTTCTCGGGTTACTGGTAAGAGGAACTCAGTTGCAGACTGCCCATTGCAAATGGTAAAAGACTGTGCTAGTTTCTAAGCATGCAATGATTAGTTCTCTTTTCCTTTGCAGTCTGTCACTGTGAGAAAGGCAGTCCATTTACCAGTACTACAGTCTACAATTTAAAACTGTCCTTCTCATTCAAGTGGTCAAGATAACAAGAACGAGTTCCCACTGTGTGAAGATAATCAACTATAATGATCATTCCAAGTAAGTTTACAGTATTGTTACACCAGTCATAGCTGGTGTACACTTTCTCTTTAGCTAGTGATCTATCTCGTAGTCACTGAAGAAGGCAGGTAACAAAAACGAGACGCTGGCTGCACAGAGCAGTCACACAGCAAGCCTCATGCAACTGTGACAGATATTTACAGCACAGCCACCACTTAGGCAGTACAGTCCGCCACTGGAAGAAAGAGCGGTCTGTCGAGGAGAGAGACACAAGCAGAGTCAGACACAGGGTGAGAGGGAGGAAGGGGCAGGGTGGAGGAAGATGGAGGCGGGGACTGAGGGACTGATGGAGGGGTGTGGCTTGGGAGTGTAGGGGAGGGAGTATGAGTGGGCGGAACTCTTGAGGAGCCAGTAGAGGAGAGAGAGAAATGTGATTATCTGTAAAAGGAAAGGGATTTTAGGATGGTGAAAGAAAAGCAGAAATTCTGGGAAGAGAAGGAGTAAAAACTGTATAAAAACTGGATTCAAAGAATATGTCTCGAGTGAGCAGCCTTGTGTTGTACGTGGGAGGAGAGGCAGCGAAAATCCTATATTTAACTCATCGTTTAACAATTGGACATTTTTCCACTCAGATTTCAGATCTGCAATGGTCAGAGCTCTCCAATTTCCCCTAAATATTCAGCAGAAAACCCAACATCTAAGTGCTGGCAAAAAAATCAATTAAGATTTAATTAAACTGCTGACAGTCCCACTGGAATCAAAATCAGCAGACAGAGGGGTCACCAGGACCACAACTGGGAAACCCCAAGAATATGCACAAAGGCATAACAGCAGAGTACAGTGACAGAGAGAACACACAAACTGGACAGCTCCTGTCCTGGAGACCCCTGTGCTTGTCTGAAGTCCTGACGTTTCCAAAGCAGGACATCAGTCGGTGCTGGGAAAAAATACTTAGGAAAAATGCACTTAGGTTACATGTTGTTTGCATAAGTGATTACATTTTCTTCTTAAATCAGGGGGAACAATTTTACAAGATAAATAGTTGCAAATCTCTTTTTAGTATGCATACTTTTACTATGTACAGTAACAGATTGCCTCTTAAAAGCCACTAACTTGCTATTTATTTTAAAAAGTAATCCCCTGCAATTGTAATGTCTTACTTTTTTAAATAACGTAGCCAGCACTGACTCTTACTCGTACTGTACATGTCTGGTTAATTCTAAATGCCTTTAAGATATGTTCAGATTCCAATCGGTAAAACCCATATCTGTACTCAGCTAAATGTGCATCTCAAATAAAAAATGGCATTTGAAGGAGAAACCAGTCAGAACTCACATCGATCTCACTTAGGATGACGTCTATGATGCTGCCAATTACGATGAGGAAGTCAAACACGTTCCAGGGGTCTCCGAAGTAGCCCTGCAGGCAGGAAGTGGAGGGCAGTTTCAGAACCAGGGACAGGAAGTGACAGGAAGCAGTAGACATGAGGTACAGTAGGTATGTTAATATTACAGTACCTTATTACTACTAGTCTGAAATGGCTTGGTTCAAAAATGGTAGTAGAAGCCCCAGGGTAGGGGTATGTTGAATAAAGGTTTATGTCTAAGCCTTTTCATTAAGAAAAACATTCTCTCCAACTTGCATGCATTTGTTTCTCTTCTCTTGCTCCACTGCACCTCCTGACCGTTGTCACAGGCAATTTTGTTGACTTAAGAGTCAAAAAGACTTTTTGATAGGATCCTTTTGTTAACAACAGCTACTAATCTTATGAAAGACACAATATGGAGTCTTGCTGATCTGGAAGCAAACAAGGAAAACTGAATGTTTCACAGATCATTAAAAAAAGATCTTAAATAATGTTAAATAATGGTCATGATTTACATTCAGTGACTGTTCATGTGAGTAATGGGGGATATCACACGACTAGCCTGTAAATGCATTGTCGCATGTCATATTAACATCATTGGTAATTCTGGACTATTTCACATGGAATTACATCAGAAATATGGAGAGCATGCAGAAAGAGGAGGAGCTGGTTACCTTAGCTTTGAAGGCCATGAGTTTCAAGACCATCTCCAGGGTGAAGAGGCCAGTAAAGACCACATTCAGCATATCTGAGATGGAGTTGAGGTCCTCAGACTGGCCACAGTGCTGGAGAGAGGAATAGAGACACACGAGCACTATAATTCAAGTGCTACGAATGTCACTTTATAAAAGCACATCAAATTAAGTTATTTTACTCACCAGGTGACTTTACAGAACTTTATATATTAGTAAAAATGTAATTAATGACTGGTGAGATCAGTTCCTATCAAGCCTTATTTAAAACCATTATAGGTTATGGAGTATTTATGGAGTATTTGACTTGCAGTCTTCAGAGTCTTCAATTGTGTACTGCAGTTTCCATTTAGTTTCATTGCAATGGATCTAACTAGCTTTACAGCATGTATGCACAGGAACAGCATCTGAAAACCACTGGTTTGTTATGGTTTGGATTGAAAACTGAACTTTGCACCCCGAAGGACAGGATTTGGGGTTTATCAGACCAAAGCTAAAAAACAGCTCTTGGTCTATTTTGTATGCTGCAATACATGAGCCCCCCAGTATTCTCCTATGAGAGGGTAGTGCACTCACCTGCATGCCCAGGCAGATGGTGTTGAGCAGGATGAGCATGAACATCAGGTACTCAAAGTAGGAAGAGGTCACCACGTACCATATCTGGTACTGATAGGGGTTCTTGGGAATGTAGCGCCTGAGAGGCCGAGCCTTGAGGGCATACTGCACGCACTGGCGCTGAGAGGGAACAGGATGACACCAAGGGAGTAGAATTACTTCACTGTCATCATTAATAACTAATTTTATTAATAATTAATCATGTTTGTGGCCAAAAAATAAAAAAACCCTTATCTGAATGCTGCTTATTCTCTGCAAGAGGCACTGCCCCCCTCACTGCACCACTCAGTTCACCCCTGAACAGGATGCCAGCCCCATTGAAGGGTGCATATACACATACAATTTAAACCGACCAATGTTTCACCTTTCAGGGGTGAGAAGCCCCTGTGAACTCAACATGCACATCTTTGGAGCTGTTGAAGGAAACAAGAGCGCTGCGGTCATGGGGAGAACGTGCTTAGAAAGCTCCCTTGGGTGTACTTGATTCCAAACCCCTAGAGAAGTGAGGCAGCACTGCTAGCCATCACGCAGCCCTGGTTTCAACAGTCCTGTGCCTGAAAGAGAGCCGGAGCTTCAGGCTCCATACCTGGTTCTTGTCCAGTTCGCAGTTCTTATACTCCTGCTCGCCCTGCTCCTGGAAGGTGACAATAACGAAGCCGACGAAGATGTTCATCATGAAGAAGGCGATGAGGATGATGTAGACGATGAAGAAGATGGAGATCTCCACGCGGTTGTTGTAGATGGGGCCCATGTCTTCGGTGTGCGAGTCGATGGCTTTGTACAGCAGTCTGTCGGAGAGGGAGAGAAGGGAGAGTGTACCGTCTGTTCACACCTCCACCTGACCTGCAGATGAGGGATGGCACACAGCACCTGCAGAAGCACAAGTGACAAACTACACTACAAAGAATATACTTTTGCATGGACTGGAACATTTTGTTTTGTGTTGTCCGGATCCCTACAATGGTTGACTTTTTCTTTGTTCTCCTTCTCCCTCAAATTCAGCTTTTGTCCATTTGCTGATTCATCTTTGGGGTTGTAAAGACTGTTAACATTTCATTACAGCAGAAAACAATTCCAGTAAGTGTAGTGTTAATTAAGATCTGAAGGTGAAATTATTTTTCCTTTAACCTCCTTCTCTTACCTGTGGCCCAGCAATACTCCCCAGCATGCTGTGGGGAATGAGCTGCTGCCCTCAGTCACATGACCCACTGTCTTCCCGAAACTGATCAGGTGACTGAGCGCAGCAGGTCCAGAACCTCCATTTTGACTGGGCCTTCTCACAGTGACAAAAGAAGAATGAAAAAAGATCAGTCAAACAGTTAAAGGAAATAAAAACACTGAACAGCTTCATACTGCAGGTCTGGCAGGAGGGTTTTTTCCCCAGTCCGACGCGGCAGGGTATCCTGCTCATGCACAGTACGGTACTCACTGCGGCCAGCCCTCAAACGTGGAGACGGTGAAGAGCGCCATCATGCCTGACAGCACGTTGTCAAAGTTGAAGTCGCTGTTGACCCATATGCGCTTGTGGACCTCCAACCCGTGAAGGTCGTTCTCCTTGAACAGGAAGAACTCGCCTCTGAGACGTGACAGAGAGAGGGGGAAGAGGCGGAAACAGGGTGAGACTGGACCATGGGAAGAAAGGGCAGTGCGATGGGATGGGAGCTGGAAACACAGCAAACCGGGGGGTGAGGGGGAAGGAGGAGGGGAGAGGTGATGGGAGTCTGGGGGAAATAGAAGAAGCATAAAAGAGATGGTCAACCGCCTGACTACTTCTGAGAGGACGTGAGGACGTGTATTTGGTTAAATTGTTTTAAAAAATGTATGTATCCATTTTAGTCCAGTGTTTAAAGTTAAAAATATGTGAAATACCCGCAGTCACTAAAAATGTTCCAGGAGAGCCCATTGCATGTTAACCTTTGGCACATTCTTCTGAATAGATGCTGGTTGATGTTATCACTGCCAGCTAAACTAGATGCACATAGCGATCCCCAGGTCATCAAAAGATTTACTGAGGTATTGAGGGTCCTGACAATCCCTCTGACAATGCCCCCCCACACACACACATCTTACCTGCACTCCTCTTCAGTCATTTTGGAAGGATCAGTACACATGTGGAATTTGCCCTTCAAAAGGAAAAGCCACAAGTGTGTGATACTCTCAGGAGGTTGTGAGATACATTAGAAAGATATGGCAATAAATGTAGTTTTCTGTAATACATTTCTGTCCAAACATGACCACGATTTCCAGCAGGTACACAGCAGTATTATTATATCACCTATCACCCACTGTATAGCAGTATTGTATTACTATATGAATATACAGTCGTTCAGATAGACAATATGCAGGTGTATTATTTTAAACATGATCTAGTGCTCATTGGCAGCGCTGGGTATGGCGGCCAGCAGTCGAAAGAGGAATGGCTTCGAGAGGTGGGCGTGTCCGGGGGAGTGTATCGCAGTGCTCATTCTATCTATTGTGTGGAAGGGGATTCTAGCCGACAAAACCGAGACTTCAAACTGCACTTGGTGATTTCAAATTGGGTGGGATACAAAATGAAAAAATAATTGCTTTTCCATGCTTTCTGGGGCATTGGCCATCCTGCCACCTGAACTGTTTGTCACATTAGAAGCCATGTTTTTTTTGTGTGCAAACTTTCAAAGTGCACAGACGCACTAGGTGTGTGACATCATTTAATGTCCTTCCACTATTTCACTTCCATTTTTGCTGTGCGACTTCTCAGGGCTCGTTCATATAATCCACAGCAAGACAGGTGGGAGCCAAGATCTCACCTTGAAGAGCTGGACTCCTATGCAGGCGAACATGAAGTCCAGCAGCATGGTGACGATGACGATGTTGCCGATGGTCTTGATGGCCACGAAGACGCACTGCACCACATGCTATTGCAACAGAACATAACCATGGAGCTCAGAGACAGAACAGCTCAGACGGCACCCTGTGCTCTAGCTTTGCTATGAAGGTAAGTTGATGGCAGTATAAAACAGTACATAATCTACATGGTAGAACACACAGACATGGGAGTAGAGAAGGACAGCTCTACCTTAAGGCCTTTTGCTCGGTTGATGGCTCGCAGGGGTCTGAGGACCCTCAACACCCTCAGAATCTTGACCACAGAAATAGCGCTGGACCTGTGGAGGAGAACCCACCACAGTCAAAACACCAGATTTTGTTTCTCACTTGAATTAAATCTTGTGTTTTGTGAAACTTTTACAGGCAGGTATTAATAGCACTGTAGAACACTTTCCAGTATCTCCTTGAATGCTTGTTCAGAGACATAGAGTCTTTACTAGTGCACAGTACTTTCATGACTTAATCTTTCATGACAACTTAACAGAAAGATAGTTGTTATTGTCATAGTATACTGTAAACATACACATTTTCTACACATCAGCAAAATTTTAACCATGCATATTTGTGCATGTAGGTATGTGTTTTTTATTTTAGGATCATTAGTTTTTAAAGAAAACAAAATAGCCAGCAATGGGTAACAAAATTGGGAAATACCAGGAGTCCCGTCGCAGCCCCGGTCAGAGCTATACTCACTGAATTACGAAGGAGATGAGGGATACGCCCACCACCAGCAAGTCCAGGATGTTAAAATAGTTCCGACAGAAGGAGCCCTTGTGCAGAAAGGCACCATATGTTGTCATCTAGAACAGAAAAAAGACCTACAGTCAACACTCCAAACTGTGAAGTGCAGGGCTAAGAGGTTGCAGTTTTGCTCAGCTGTGTACAGTAAATCCTAAGGTAAAAATGTGGTCAGCTCTGTATTCTGTAATAATTTACTACTGATTCAACAAACATTGAATTATCCTTATCCTCCTTTATGCCAAAAAAGCTGAAACTTGGCAGGTTTAGGTCAAGCATGATAGCCCTTTACTTACTGTATACTACATTGTCCTCATTTCACCAGTTAGGCAATAGCTGGGTAATGTCACTGTTATTGAGAACACTGAACATCTGTACTGTACAGAATCCACCATGCAAGGTTTAGGTGGATGCCTTGCAGTAATCAAAGTCTACAGGGCTGAGATTTCAGAATCCATTTCAGAGCAACCCAACAATTAAATACTGTAGCACTGGGATTTCAACCACCACAGTTTTTTATAGCGATGCCCATTTTTAAAGCATGACCAGTATGAATTACCTTGAGCACAATTTCAGCTGTGAAGACCACTGTGAAGACAATGTCAAAGTAACCCAAGATCTAGAACAACAGGAAGGAAACAAGCGCTGTTAGCAGAAGTGCAGTCTGTGTGTGTACTTATTTGGAGTGTAGGAGTATTATCCAAGTACAGATAATGAGTTAATTCATATGTGCAATAGTAGATCCTAGTGGTCAGAACCTGGCCTTGCAGGCAGGCAATGACCTAGTGCCCTGAAAATGAAGTTGGCATCAGTCACCAGCCAGCTGCCTGGGGGGAAGGGAAGGGTACCTTGTTCCTGAAAGACTCAGGGTCAATAGGGTCCTCAGCAGCCAGCGAGATACTGCTGAGGAGGATGAAGAGGAGGATGAAGTTGGTGAAGGTGGTGGCATTCACAATCCGGTGGCATAACTTCCGAATCCTGTGAGGACACGACAATGGGACACCTTAACTTAGACTGCCCACATTTTACAACACTACATGACAGTTACATGACATCCACAGCAGGTGAAACAAGGCAACAACCAGGTTGAGCCGGAGCATAAGTGAGACAAATGAACACACAGAAACCCACTCAAGCGTGGTCTAACCTATTTCATGAAGGAGGAAATGTGCTTATGTGCAGGGCAGCAAACCCAAGTTCAAGCTCCGCTATGTAAGAACTTTGCTCCATCCCTTCTTTGTGATTTGGCCCCTCTCCACAGATCCCTGAAATTTGTTCCCTATAGATTGCTGTCAGAGATGATACAGACAGGCACGACGGTACCAACTTGTTCTGAGGTCCGAAGATGAAGAAAGCGCTGGCCTCGGGCATTGGCACCGCCTTCTCCTTCAGCTGGAGTTCGGCCAGGGGGCGGGGCCTGGGGCTCAGTGGGATCTCAGGCTCCTCCTCCTCGTCGTCTCCTAGGAAACAACATGGAGAAGATCCATGAGGATAATAAATACTGTGGCTCTTCCTTTAAAGACAGAAGGGTTGCTTCAGCACTGGCAGTGAGTATCAACAGACATTGATAATTTTACTATTTATTATTTTAAGTCTAGGATCATCCAATTATCAATGTCTGTTGATTTATTATTTTTAGTGTGCTATCCCACTATAATAAGACAGTTTATTAATGAAGAAAGATGTGAAGACGGGGGTTTAAATTAAATCCTTTCTGTATGAGGTTTAGACTTCTAAATCACAAGCTGGAGTTTATGGCAGGAAAGGGGTTAACTGATAAGGATTCCAGATGCAAGCTAGGAACCCCCCTGGGTGTAATCTTAAACTGACCATTTGGCCAGGATCTCTTAACTGACCAAATACCATGAACCCCCCTCTTTACTATCAGACTGAGTGACGTCAGAAACGGAAAAGAAGATACTATATAACCCAAAAGTTTGTACCGGCACATTGAACAATACTTCGGTTTTGTTGTTTCTTGCGGGAAACAAGACTTCGGCTTTATTGTTCCTTGCATGCAATAAACTCATCTGTTTTACTTCATCTTGGGATCCAGAACCTTATTCTTTCTGTTACAACACTAATATAAAGTTCCATATTTGGGAGTGTATTTACTCTTGTGTATATCAGTGGTTCCCAACCTTGGTCCTGAAGAAACACTCTGTCCTCTGTTTTTTGCTCCAATTGAGATCTTCATAACAGGCTAATGGATTTAGTTTTACTGGGGGCACATCTGTAAATTTGCTTTCAGCTCTTAAATGGTCAAATTGGATTCAAAATTCATATCAAGGCGTGTCTGATCCAGTGCCACATCTCCAGTGAGCATGTCTGATCCAGTGCAACACCTCCTGTTGTAGTGTCACATCTCCTGTGGGCATGTCTGGTGCACTGTTACTCCCACCTGCGTCTGCTCTTCATCCACTAGTAAAAGCTGTCCCATCAGAAATAAGAGTTAGCAAGCTGAGTAAAGTTCTAAATGCTGAAGCTGTCCCTTGAATTTGGGACACTCAGGACTATCCAAAGAAACAAGTTACTGCAAATAAAAGTCTAAACAAGCAAGCCGATCAGTTAAGTCATCAATTATGCTGGAGATGTAGAGCTCAGCTGGAATGTAAACCAGAAGACAGTGTTTCTCCAGACCAGAGCTGGGAGCCAGTGGTGTAGATAGATAAGACTTGATTCATGGTATGGTAATGCTGACTGTGCCCAGTTCTTCATTTCATTTGCTACAGTGTGGCAAGAGACTGGAAGCTTTCGGTAAGGAAAGTGAACAGAGAAAAGGTCAGCAGGTAAAGGATAATGAAAGCACTGAAACTAACTGTTTCCACTCAGTATTCTTTATTTACAGATTGGTAATAACGTATTTGCTGTAAATAACATTAAATTCTTCTAAAATCTTCACAGTTCATTTAACTATAATATAAACTGTATGTGATGTACTGTGTGAGTTTCTTAGTATTTTCTAGGGATATGTGTAAAGTTAGTCTAATGTAGCAGTGTAACTGGTAATGTCAATTTATGTAAACTGTTTCAGTTACAAATAAAATGTTTAAAAAGAGATTATTTTTAATCTCTAAATCACTCTGTAATACTAAGTCACCTTGTCGAGTTTAAATAAACGAGGAAGAAGAAAGCACTGAAACTAACCACCTCCTCTTGATATTATTTACAGTTATGGTGATGGCATATGTATTTACTGGGACCTGTAATATTACTGAACATGCAAATGTATTTACTAGCTATTAACCTGACCCTAATTAATGAGGTTAGAAGCAGACGACACTGTTAATATTTTACTCTGTATTTTACTCTTGCTTTTTACTTTTTAGTGTGGAATTAACCTCTATTTGTTCCTGTTTTTTTAATTGTTAGATGTTGTCTTTTTCAGTTTAATATGACTCAAGCCTTGCCAATCAATTACTGTAACTAAAACATTAATGAAATACAGTAAGAGCAGAGTACCTGGGAAATCAGCAGAGGGATATGGGTCCTTAATTTCATTGACATTCGACTCAAACTCGTCCACTTTGAGCTGGAAAATAAAAGACAGGGGATGTTGTTGCCGACCAAAAACTCCAGCGACGATAGAACAGTAATGTTGAGCCCCTTAAATTGGGGCTTAAACATTCCCTTTTCATAGACATCTCTTGTGTTCAAGAACAATGAGATTCTTCAAAAATCAGTGAGATTCTAGCAACAAAAGATTATAAGATCCAAATGTCCACCTTTCTTTGTGGTCTTTGCTACATTTTTAAAGAAATCATTGGATGGGATTCCTGAGATCAATTAAAGACTAGAAACCAAACTAGATAGAAGTGATAAATGGCCTCTGTTTGTACCCTTTCTTATGTTTACAGTGTTACAGACCCTCTCAAGATGTGAGCAGGAGGTGCTACACTGGGACAGATGTTTGTGAGTCTTGGGGTAGTGCAGGGCTGGCTCTATGTTTTTTTGGGGAGAGTGTTTCAGCATCAGGTTCTGCAATTAATATTTTCATATCACTGGGTATGGCAGGATCCTCGAATGATTTGTGAACCTTTTCCAGTCTCCTTGGGAGGAAGTGTGGGCATCCTCCCCTTCTCCTTGTTTTCCTCTTTTGTGATGGTGGTGGTATTGGTGTGGTATCACGGCTTCTTATCTCCCCAAATCAAGAACTTGTCAATGCTGCGGGTGGGGGTCCCTCAGGGAGGTGCCTCGCTCAGTGGCCCCTGCATTGCTACAGGCCCCACTGGAGTGAGCTTTACCTGCGCTAGGTTTCCCTTTAAGTCAAAATCTAAAAGACCCCCCTAGGCTCACGGGGGTTCTGTTCTGCTGTGTGGTGCAGGTGATGCCCTATAGCTGATCCAGACCCCAGACAGACCTTGGCTGTAGTAGGGATGCTCTCTCCCTTGGCCTTCTGCTCCAGCTTCTTGGCCAAGAGAAGCTTTTCCTCCTCAGATTTCTCCGGCTTATTTGATCTGAGAGATGGAGACAGAGTTAAAGACAGCAAGAACCAGGGATAAGAGGGAGACAAAGAGAGCTGATGATGGTGGCTGACGGTGCTCTGGAAATAAACTGCTTCCTTTCTGAAGAGGGGGGATGGTTCATACTTATACATCCAAGATATTTTAGTTTTTGATTTGTTTTTGCTGACTTTCACCCATTAAAGTGTTCAGCCTGAGCATTTAAGTTTTCATGACAACTGTTCATTTAAAAAACGTGTATATGTCAATTAGAGGTTTTAATCGGCTGACCAATTTGATCGATTGAGCGATCGATCGATCAGTCGCTCCATAACCCAGGATGGAGAACTCTCTTTTGAAGAGATGCTTCTGATTTGAGATTTCTTACCTGGCCAACTTCTTCCGTTTCTTTTCCTCCGCTTTCTCCTTCTGCGCTGAGGTCAGGCTTTCTGCCTCTGCCAGGTTATCCACCGCAATGGCCAAGAAAACATTCAGGAGGATATCTGCACAGAGGGCTTAAGGAACAGCTGTGGACTTCCACTGGGGCACATGACTGGTCTTCTAGCTCACCAGATGCAGAGTGGTTTAGGAGAGCCTGGGAAATATTGCTTTGAATCCTGTCTAGAAATGAACATCACAGGCAACACAGGTATAGTGTCCCGCTCCACTGAGACTCATGCTTACTGCTCACTGAGGGCACTGTGAATGTGACGGGATCTGTTTGGTCTGAACTTGTAACAACAATGCAATCCTTTTAATGAAACTTTTGGCCCCACTGCATCACTTGTGTTGTTTGGTTGTAGCCAGGATCTGGACACCCTCTGTCTAGGCACCTCCTCTGGCTTCCTAGAAGCTGCACAACCCCCCCACAATAGGTGAACAAATCCACTGAGCCAAAAGACCAATTATGTGACCCAGTGAGTTTATTTACACCTTTCAAAGTTTCATCATATCATGCAAGAATCTCACACCAAAATGAGCCCTTTTACACCATCATTCATGAGCTACTCTCAATAATTCTGAGGTTTGTGAATAGCTCTGTGCAATTAAGGGTCTGTAATACTTCATATTCTAAAAGTGATGTAGGGCAATGCATTTGCTCCCGTTCTTATTTCTTGTACTGGCTTAGAGGATTAAATGACTGGGAGGGCTCAGGTCATGAATCATCAACACAGAGCCCGGTACTCTCTGACAAAGCAGCCTCTCAGTGTTTTGGCATACACAAAATCACTGGTATGCTAAATATGACTGGAAGCAACTCTCAGCAGGCTCCCCAGTAACCGAATCAAAAGTGCTCTCCATCACCCACACAGGAAAAAATGGAACAGCACTTCTCCACAGTGGAAGTCAAGGGGGATACAGTTGCCACAGACGAAAAGAATGATGAAGTAGATGCAGACGAGAACTCCAGGTAAGGAGGGCCCCCCGTATGCCATGATGCCATTGTACATGACAGAGTTCCAGTCTTCTCCAGTGAGGATCTGAGTGGACAGAAGAGAATGGCACCTCTAGACCACACATTGCTTTAAATATGACCACAGTCATTCAGTTTCATAGCACTTTAAGGAGGTCACTGGAAAGACCCTTTTACTCTAGTTTACTGCTGTTTATGTTTTTCAAAAAATGGAAACGGACAGATATTTTTTACTGCTGTAACACTGGGAATTGCCAATTGCTTATCCTCTTAGGTTTACAGTTCCAATCTGGGTACCACGTGGGAAAGATGACTAAACTTGCTCATCTGGGATGTGCTACAAGCTCAACAGTGTCTCTAAGGAGTGTTAAAGCCTGTTGGAGAAGTTTCTCTGATGCACAATTGGATTGCATAATTATTTAGTGATTGTGAGCTTAGGAAGGAAATGTGAGGACTGAGGTTTCAGATTGGTTCTGAAATCAGTGGTCACTCCTATCTTTTTGAATGTTAGTGATGAAGAGAGTTTTCAGTGTGATTTCTCAAAATTAAAACAAACAGGACTCCAGTATAGTTCTCGCGAGGGTAGTGAGTGTGAGCCTAGGAGTCTTGATTCTGGGCAAGAGATTATCCCAGGCTTTAGTTCGGAATGAGACTGAGACCAACACAGACAAACCCACAGCACCTGGAAGACGCTGATGAGGGCCTGGGGGAAGTTGTCGAAAGTGCTGCGCCGCACTTCCATGTCGGGGAAGTTGTACTTGCCCCCGAACACCTGCATGCCCAAGAGGGAGAAGATGATGATGAAGAGGAAGAGCAGGAGGAGCAGCGAGGCGATGGAGCGCACGGAGTTCAGGAGGGAGGCCACCAGGTTACTGAGAGACGTCCAGTACCTGGGAGGTAGAGAGAGTGGACACCTGAGACAGGACTCCTCCGTTGCACTTGGCTTTCCACATTCCACTTGGCATCCAAGTGCACCTGGATTTCAGGAGCTGTCTCCAAAGGACTAATAAACGTGTCCAATTCACTGTCACGATATTAGTCCCCCCTCCTTAAGGGTGCTCCAGCCCTTTCACTCAAGACTTTATTCGGTGCACCTGTTTCCCTTTCCCAGCCCACCTTAAAAGCCAGGCGCTGACGCTCATCCAGGGTCTGCATCTGATTTCCATATCGTGCGAGTCCGGGACCTGGAAGCGCCTGGTCCCGTTAAGGTTTTAACCTCTGTTCCCGTTCCCGTTCCTGTTCCCTGTCCGCCGGTTCCGACACGGCCTTCGTGGTTTTTAATTCTCTGTTCTGATGGATCTTCTGGTTTTGGACTTACCCTTGTGTTTTGGATATTCCCTAAGGACTACTCTCTCGGATTGTTCGCCTCGGCCACACCTCCCCCGTGCACCAGCGCACCTTGGACACGCCCCCTTGTCTTCAGCCCCGTTTTCCTGCATGACGTTTCCCTAGTGTTTCCCCACTCCGTCGGACTGTGTCATCCGCATAGGGTCCGGAAAGAACTGTTCGTTACATTCACTGCCTATATTGCACATTTCCCTCGTGAGATATAAAATGAAATTCTCCAACAAGGTGCAGAAGTTTCCTTAAAAAGACCCACAAAGTCAAAGACTATGCAGTTTGAGTTCGCACTGCTCGGAAAATACCACACTTTTTATAGCTTCCTACTTCTCATTTGCCCCTGCTCCCTCCCCTGCCTTCCCCTGTGCTCCTTACTTGGTGATTTTGAAGATACGGAGCAGGCGGATACACCTCAGCACAGAGATGCCCAGGGGCGACATCACGCCGAGCTCCACCAGGATGAGCTCGATGATGCCTGCGCACACCACGAAGCAGTCGAAGCGGTTGAACAAGGACATGAAGTAGGACTGGAAGCCCAGGGCATACATCTTGAGGAGCATCTCCGCCGTGAACAGAGAGAGAAGCACCTTGTTCGCAGTGTCTGGTGCCAAGGAAAGGAAGCAGAGAGAAGCACAAAATCACAACATGACAAAGAAGTGATCCATGCTGAAATCTCTTCAGTACAGATCAGTACAATGGAGGTAAGAAAGAGCCAAAACTGCCTGTCCTGGGGTTATTTCTTTGTGGATTTCTGTCATTTTGCCTTTTGTGATTTGAGGATTCCAGAAGATTATCTATTATTCATTGCTTTCATCTTATAGAGTATCACTGAGAGCCAGAGCCTAACCTGGCAGACACAGGGCAAAAAGAGGAACTGCACTCTAAATTGGATGCTCATTACAGGAGAACGTCAGTTCCACCCAGAAAGCACTCTGACTCAGAAGTGATGCCAAGATCCGAGAGCTGTTAGGCACCAGCACTGTTACACTAAGGTACCATCTTCTTGAAGATTTAAGAAACCCATAATTCTACCTATTGTAACTGTGAAAGCTAGAGGCTAAAACAATTTGGCATGCCCCACACTGTGCTCATTATCCCTTTGCAAAATAAGGAATAATATACTAAAACCAACAGAAAGAAACACTGATCACTTCAGATACACCTAGATTTTATGCAACTATAAAACACAAGCTTCAGGAAATGAGACCGGTGTCATCTTTAACAGGCATCATTGGGGTGACCAAAGCCAGTGAGTTTAATTACCAGCTAACGAGGACCTGGGAAGTAGGGGTTTTAACCAATTAAGATGATATTAAGGTGTACAAAACCGTTCAAAGTGGGTGGGAATAGAAGATGTGGCCGCAGCGCCTGATGGACGTGGCTGGCCGGAGAGCCTGACCTTGCACCTTGGTGAGCCAGTCCGCCTGGTTGTGGTGCTCAGTGGCGATGGCGAGCGTGTTGAGGAACACCAGCAGGATCACCAGCCAGTAGAAGAAGTTGGACTTCACCCAGGTTCGGCACTTGCGGCGGAACCAGCGGTTCCAGCGTCTCCAGCGACGGCTAGATAGGGGCGAGAGAGCGAACAAGCTCGTTTTATTCTCCTCCCGTCGAGAGAGACACTATACTCCTCGACTCCTTCCCTCGTCCTTTATTCACACGCACACTTTTTAGCAAACAAAATATCCATAGATTAAAATATGGCAACACCAAACTATGCCACAGTAAAAAGATCTGTCAGAATTGTCTGGTATGTTCATAGCATTGTTTTGACTAATGTATAAATACATGAGCATCTTTGTCAGTCCCTGCAGCGAGACACTGCTCTTGGCCTATGGTCTTTTCTGTTTTGAATATGCATACTGTGCACAACGTATTCAAGCCAAAGCTGTTTGTTGTAATCAGTGCTTAGCAATGTAATGGTTAGGACCCTGGACTCCTGAATGACTGGAGGGTCATCAGCTCAAATCCCAAATGGTGACTATTGTACCCCTGAACAAGGTAGTTTACACACATTGTTCCAGCAAACCCAACAGTATAAATGAGCAACAACAGATATGTGAGTAAAATATACAGCAGATAACCGTGAGCCAGTTTGGATGAAAGTGTTAATTTAACTAATTTATTTGATTATTTAAAGTGGCAGGCTCTGTGTCATATCTGACTTGACAGGCCAGAAAAGAGAGCGCACTGCCTGGCTCCCTTACTCACAAGAAGAGGATGAAGCGGTTCATTCCCTCCATCTCGAACAGGCTCTCTGTGTCCGAACCGCCCTCGTCCAAGGGGAGGAGTCCTGACACCCACAAACAAGAGAGTCAGAACAGCCCTCAAAGGTTTTCATCAGCTGTCAGTGGAGCAGAACACTGTAAACTCACATCTTAAAGTACGTGCATGACAAAGCACAAAAACTGGAGGAAACAACAGCAAGGCAAAGGGGACCCAGGGTATAAAAGCATATTAATTGAATGTGGTAAACTCTGGAAAGGAGCTACCCAGGAATTAATTTTCATGGCCACAAAAATGGGCTAGAGGGAGTGTCCTTACAGGCCAATTAAAGGCACTAGGCACCCATTTGTATCAAAACTGCTTTAGTTTACTCATAATGGTATGTTCACAAGGAGTGTCACCACCACAAGGTGTGGCAGACAAATGACACAAAACTAAGCGTAAAACATTCTAAAAAATCATGCTTGAATATTGAAACTCTCTTAAAGCTAAACACCTAAACTGCATCTACAGTTTTCAAACTACATACATAAGAAAGCTAAAAAGCTAAAGAGTTTGAAGAGACCTGATTGGGGTAGGAGACACACTGCAAAGCTGTGTTTTTGTGCCAGTGTGGGCTTGTGGGCATGGGCAGCGGGTGTGGTTTGTGAGCAAGTTGGTGAGAGTGGCGTGTGGGCGGGTCAGGTGGCTGAGTCAGAGCAGGGCCTAATTCTCTCTGTGGGAGACTGAGGGTTGCAGTCAGGGAGGTGAGGGTGACTCAGGAGGTGAATCTGAATTGTGTGGAGGAAAGATCCTCGCCTGTGTGGCTCGTGTGGCTCTAAGGACCTTTGCACATAAAACGCTCCCAAGACAGATGGGATTTGAAAGCCCAGATGGGTTACTGGCTTGACTAATTTAAACAAACTTCCACAAAATAAACAACAGAAGTCTTAGAGGGGGGTGGTAGACCATCTCAACTACTCTAACTGCCCAGCCCTACCCAACCCTTGGTCATCCCAGGCCTTTCATGAGGCAGCCTGCTCCGGTGGGTTTAGATTTCCAAACTCTGGGAATGACTGGATTGTTAGGAAACAAGAAGTAAGCCAGAAGCTTGAGTGTGTGGCAGGGTGTGTCCCATACCTTCCCGGTGCTCCTGGTCATTGTCCATGACTTCGGCATGTGTGATCCAGTCCAGGTATCCCTTCAGGTCCTCCTCCAGCTGCTGCCTCTCCCGCAGCTTCTGAAACTCCCCCCGAGACTTGGCCTTCTCTCGTTCCTTCGTGAACTCGCTGTGCGGCGGAAGGGGAGCGGAGGGGGCGGAGCAAGAAGGAAGTAGATACAGAAACAAAGATAGGAAAAGCGATAAACTACAATTACACTTCAGTGCAGAAGCACTGTGTGAGAGTTTACCACAGAAACTTGTTTTTCCTACAGTTTTTACTACAACTAGCCACATACTTGTCTGGCTTTCTAGTGGTTTGCACTATCCAGTACAAGAAAGCTGTTTGCTTGACCTTTCCTTAACTCATTGTACTACACTTTATTGCTATGACACATTTAGGACAAAGCAAACTTTAATAAGTGAAATGACTTACATTTTGCACCAGGTATACTGTTTGACAAAAGACATTTTAAGCAGAAAACTAGGGGGGCTTCTTTGTGAATTGTGCTAGTTTCAAAATCAGCTCTGGTTCCAGAATGCCTGTGCATGGAGTCCTGTTCCATTCCAGTGGAAATAATAATTTCAGTGATCATCAGCTTGGTTTAGTTCTCCAAAGATCCAATGGTGAAACGGAGCTGTCCTTACTGAGTGGGGAACGTACCCGCTGAGCACACCCAGTACCAGGTTGAGCACAAAGAAGGATCCCAGGAGTATGAGGCTGACGAAGTAGATCCAGGGCCATTCGTTCCCGATGGCATCATTCACCTGGGGGTGAAGGGTCACGCTGGGGTCAGCAAGAGAATAAGGCAACAGAACAGCACTGGATTCTGTACATGCGGAAGCAGTCTTCCTTACTGTAGGTACTAGCTCCGATTAGTCAAAGAACTGCAAATTATATTACCAAAGCGTGACATCCCACAAGCTTCAAGGTGTTGACAACTTCACCTTTAAGCTCCACAAAGAATAAAGACGCAGGCTTTCAAGCAAAACATTAAAACGACAGGAATAAACTAGAGGAAGCAGAAGGCTCCAACTATAGTGAGAATAGGGGTTTCTGGTCTGCCATGCGGTTGAAGATCTGTCTACTGTAGCATGATCCTTGCAGGAACAGCTGACTGAGATTTGGATATTGATTAGTTAGTGGCAACTTAATTGTACGTGTCCCGCTGTAACGAGCCTGTGGTTTACTTCTGCTTCCTGCCGCGATCGTGCCCAGTTTACCCAGTAGAGCACGTCGGTCCAGCCCTCCATGGTGATGCACTGGTACACGGTGAGCATGGCGAAGCCGAAGTTGTCGAAGTGTGTGATGCCGTTGTTGGGCCCCGCCCAGCCGCTCTTGCACTCCGTGCCGTTGAGGGAGCACTCCCGGCCGTGGCCCCCGGTCGCACAGGGCGCCGGCTTCTCGTTCTCCACCATCGCCACGATGCCTGCACAGGAACGGGAGAGGTGAGACGCGTGGAGAGGACGAGGAGGGGGAGGAGGAAGGGCAAATACAGGCGCTGCTTTTTACACCTCACTCATGACGGCGAAACAAGCGTGACTTTTGTATAGTACGTCAGTTGTGCGGTTACAGGACCACGCGAGTGTTCCTGGCCAGTCTGGTTCGTCTGTCACCTGCTGAACAGCTGAACATTGCAGTTCATACTGTTGTGCTGACTAACGCTGTCAAGTGCCTGGCTGTGAAAACCAACCCAAAAATAACAGGTGACCCGCCTGCAGGAGTGATTTAGAAACAACCACTTTATGAATATGAAAAGTCCAAAATGCATTTTCTCCTCAGAGACATACAATGGGATCATAAAATCAACTGTTCATTTTCTAAACTGCTTTATCCAGTACGGGGTTGCAGGGGAGCCGGAGCCTATCCCAGCAAGCAACGGGCACAAGGCAGGACAGTCCATCACAGGGCAGACACACACTCACACCAGGGCCTGTTTTCCCAGAAGCCAGTTACACTACCAGTATGTCTCTGGACTGCGGGAGGGAAGTGTATATAACACCTAATGTGACAAGTCTATATCTAGTGATATATTAGTGGGGTGGAAACAATTGTTTGTAATGTATTTTTGAATAGTTAGCTACTGGACTGATTTGCTCATATTACAATCAGCATATGTGTCCCCTGCTCACTGACGTGTGCCGGTATAGTAGCAGGTCTTGTGCATCTTGCACTTGAAGAGCTCCAGGCCAATGATGGCGTAGATGATGATCATAAAGAGGACCAGCAGGGCGATGTGCAGCAGTGGGACCATGGCCTTGATGATGGAGTTCAGCACCACCTGCAGGCCTGGAGGAGAAACAGTCCCATGAGTCATGATGGCTTGATCGTCATCGATAACATGTCTTGGGATGAAAGTGGTATATCTTTCTAACTTTGGTACTGCATCTTAATTTCAATTACACATTAAAATAATCTAAACTCAGAATATTTTAAGTGATTTGGAAGGTATAATACTAGGATATACTGCCCCAAAATTATGATTGAAATCTTTATAAACGTTTTCAGCCTTGATAACTAATTCCTATTGGTTACAGATTTTTTTAAAAACATACAATCCCCCAGATATCTAGTTTTCTCTCTTGAACCTCACAACAACACCACTGCACAAGAGCCAAAGCACACTTCATGTTGTCACGCCTCCCACTGTCACCAGTTCTCGGTCAGCTCCAGAGGGCCGTACTTGGAACGCCGGACACCAGGCGCAGGGGCCGGAGAACTCGGAACGCTCGCAGAGCCTTCACGTCAAAGCCCGCCCCCTTCCCCCCCACTGGGGTCTCTATCCCCTCGATGCGGTTGATGGTCTCCAAGGCAACAGTGAAGAGCCTAAAGGAAGAGTACAGGCACCGTCAAGACCCGGGGCCCCCCAGTATGGTCGCTGTCCGCAGAGAGACTCAGACACAGAATGGTTGGCTTTAGTCAAAGTCGTTGTGGGAAGAGGTACTGGTATGAACCAAAGAAGAATACAGAAGAGGGGAGTCTATTAAGCTCATTTTGCTACTGTGGTTGCTCATTGACTGAGGGACCTGCATAGTCCTTTAGAGAGTAGTTCAGGTGGGTAGCTGCATCAGCATGTGTAGGCTGCAAAGGAACAAGTAATAGGTTACTTGTTACTTGAGCATGGAATAAACCTATTGCTTGTTCCTTAGTCCTTAGGAGGTGTGTGCATTAAGAAACAGAGGTCTCCAGCCCTGGTCTGGGAGAGCCTCAGTCTAGCAGAGTTTACTATTCGTAGTCTTCAGCTCACAAGGATCAGAGTTAATGTTAATGTAATGTAATGTTGCTTTATTAGCCTTATACAATTTCATGCATTAGGAATTCGACTTTTTGCATACCCCAGCCTGCTCTTCATGAGACACAGACAGGGAGAGAAGCTTGGGGTCAGAGCGCAAGGTCAGTCGTTGTACAGCTCCCCTGGAGCAGTTGGGGTTAAGGGCCTTGCTCAGGGGCCCAGCGGAGTAGGATTCCTCTGCTGACTGCGGGATTTGAACCAGCAACCTTCCAGTCGCAGGCACAGAGTCACCACTCCGCCCACTAAGAGTTCTCTTAGTTGAACAGTTAACATTCTTAATTCGCCAGTAACTTACAGATGTTGTCTTCTGACCGAGATGACCCATAAGAACAACTGGACTGGGTCTAGCTAGCATCATGGCGGGTGACTTCTGCATTAAGATATGCATGGATGGGTAGAGATGCATGCAGGTTTTTCTGCTTCTTTCTTTCCAAACACTGGGGCGTACTGTAGGAGCCTAACAAACAGGCCCTGAAAGCCCAAGTATTGAAGAGATGACACAGAAGAGAAACTGCTATGATGTCAAGCAGCCCCCCCCCCACCAGCCATCCTGTCTCATGTGGGAACTCCCAGCAAGCCAGCTCTCCTTACCCAACAAACACAATCACGAAATCCAAGATGTTCCAGCCATTCCGTAGATAGGCATCCGGGTGGAACAGAAAACCATACGCCACTATCTTTAGGAATGCCTCGATGGTGAATACGATCAGGAAGATGTACTCAACTTTCTCCTGTGAAAGATATGGTGAAAACAAGCATACAGTAGTTTGAAAGTGGGGCAAACTACACTCCTGCCCATCCACGAGGGAGGGCAATCTTGCACACCCATACAGGGTGGCCCTTGCTAGGGCTAGAAGGTGCTGTACATTCCTTGGGGAAAAGAAAGAAATCTTGTGCAGTAAACATGCAGTTTTTAAAAGAATAAATACAAAATGTGAGGAAAGATCATCTTCATTAGATTAAAAGATTTCCTTCACTATACAGTACAGAATTTCCTTCCTGTCTACAGTATGGTCTTTTTAGTTTAATTGGTATTCAAACAGCATGGAAAACTGGGAGCAACATTGCACTACATTTAGTCTTAGAGCAATACAAGCAGAAGGTCTGACATTATAATGATTGCATTGATAATCTACAGTAGTACGACAGTAGCGATGTTGTAAGCTATTAGTTGTAAGCTTTGTCAAAAACAGAACTCACTATATTATCTCTATAGTGATCCTTAAGTATCATACCATTAAACAGAGGGGACGTCTGATGAAACGACTAAAATTTACACTAAAAAATAGTGTAATTGATTTACAACGAGTGAGAACAGACACATTTAATGCCATCCGCTGTATGCGGTCCCGTTTACCCCGTCAGCCTGCTCTTTTTTTCCAAAACGTTTTGTTTTGGTTTTCACTGGGCTTGGTGGGAATGAATTTTCGGTATTTTTCCTAATCAGTCTTTCTTGCCCTTCGCACTCCTCTGTCTGGAGTTTCGGTAAAAAAGCTTCGTCGCTGAGAGAAGCGCCTCACACTGCGCTAAACAACACCATGTATGGTCTCCCGGCTCTGCCAGTGTGTAAACTGAACACAGAAACACTTCAGCATCCTCAGTAACTCTCCATAAATTAGGAGGAGACTGTATTATGTGACAGTGTTTTATCTTTTTACGACTAAAGCGCTACTTTAACGGCGCCATGTTTAATTGTCACAAAAAATGCCAAGTACTTTTAAGTAAAACAAACTTAGGCCGTCAAAGAATATGAAGTAAACTTGGTACAGTCGCGGTGCCAGCGGTTCCGGGATTTTACAGAAGACATCTGTGTGTTTGCCCGTTAAGGGGCAATGTACTGTACGGTCAGAGCACACATATCCAGCCGTCTTCGCGCCTGGGATCAGCGGTGACCCCGGCGAGCCTGACAGTCAGCTCGACTTTCAGATGCGCAGCGGGGTCGGAATGCGGGGAATGGCGTGTCCCTGTGGTGGGAGTGTCGGGCAGGAGTCAGGGCTCAAGCAGAGAGACTGCGCGCACGCAGGACTCCGGATGCGCGGATCGCTCAGTGGTTTGTGGAAACCACACAGCAGTAGAAAACCATACAGAACGTGTAGTACGCGGTCCAGATCCTGAATCATATATTAGAGAAAAATTCACTACAGATCTAAGATCAAATCTAAGATCAATGATTTGAAAACAATGATGATGTTTCTTCAGTTGTCCGTAAGGGTGCCGACAGCTCTAAAGATAAAGATCAGCTCCCCGTTATCTGAAACATGACAGTACAATAACTGCATTCCAAACTAAAAAATGTGTCCAGTTATCATTGTCATCGTTCGTTGAACGCGCTTGTTTATAACACTGCTCAGCTTCTTCTTAAAGCGGCATTCAGTGGCTCCATAAACCTACACTACATTTTTTCTGCCGTTCATATTCGTAATGTATGTTGTCAGCGATAGTGAGACAGTGTTATAACACCTAGCAGAGAGGGAGTATTTCCAACCACAACCGAGCCAATAGCTATGAATTGTAAAAATACCGTTTAGCTTCAGTGTCGCAGAAGCTTTAAAAACTACCAATAACAACAGGTGGGGGATTGTTGATTCATGCATTCTTGCGTGTGGATTACCTACTTTGCTGGCAGTGGCATCACACAAACTTTACATTAATTCCGATTTACTCTAACATCCAGGGAGCGACTAAAAATAAACCATTGAAACGCAAAACAGAAGAGGCCAGACCACCTGTCCCCTGTCATCACCTGAAAGCGGGTCACTCCGGCAGCAGTTACATTTAGTTCCTCTCAATAAAGAGCTCGCGGGCAGGGAAATAGGCTCTTTTCCAATTCCTGAAGTATCTTAAAAATGCCCTTTTCGTTTCAGCTCAACAATAACAACGGGATATAGGGCATGCCACATTCGCCGAGGTTCAGAAGATCATAAGGTTAACTACAGTATTAGCTTTTTAATTTAATACACAGTCTTTATGTCATGCAGCTTTATAGATTATAAAATGCTGAATCACATGAAAAGAATTATTACAAACAATAGGAGCCCATTAGTTCAGACTCACATGTTTGGACAGAGTCTGGAATATCTATAAGATCATCTTCAACAACGTGACTAGGTCGCATTTTTCAGATCTCTTTATTTGTGTTACGACAAGTCACTTCATTATAATACAAAGTGAAGTACAATAGAGGCTATTTATTTATCTGTATGTTTTACTGGAGCAATTTGCGCGATGCATTTGTGCTCAAAGGTACGGTACGAAAACAGGGCTGCATCCATGATTTTAACACATAATCCTACTGGTGAGCACAGAATTCTTCACACAGAATCATTTCCTACACGACGCTGATTTTATTATCTTTTATGCTCATGTCTAAATTTCCGTTGACGAACTTTTGTTGCGCTAAAGTAAAACGACCAAGGCGACGGTACATTTTTAAGACTCTTACGCTTCACACCCAACGAGTGGCAGGGAGGTCTCACAAATGTACACGTGTCTAACCTGTAATTTCAGTGTTTAAAAGGGGGAAGTGTAAGGAAGTATTGAAATATTTTGCATTTTTGAAAACCTGCCAACTAGCCAAAAAAGATGCAAAACATTTTTATAATGACTATTTTTCAGGCTGATATTGGGGTACCCTTTCACGCTTGGGACCTTTCCAAGTAAACAATGTCAATTCACATAGGGCTTTTTCATTTTCACTTGATAGCGAAGAAAAAAGCCTCAGGTATGTCTCTCATGTTTCTGGAATAACTAATCACTGTGAAAACTAGTTTTGAAATGTGACAAGGGATAGATAAAAGTAAACAGATTAGAAATACATTTAATGAAAACGTCGAGTCACCTTGCGTTAGAGACGCAAAGGTAAAAAAAGAACAAGCTAAAAGGCGTTTCAAAAAGAAAAGACTTAGGTTTGGAGTTCTTCAGACACCAAAACTAGAAAAATGATAGTTTTTTTAGACGTTTGTTATCCCTAAGATTCTTATCTATATGTAGGATTTTAAACGACATTGAAGAATTTAAAATACTTTAAAGGTACATTTTCCGATCTGAGCAGAATTTCGCCGTTATATGTTTATGAAGGTGGTTTTATTAACAAGTGGTTGAAATGAAATGTGTATTAAAGGAAACAGTAATATTTTCTGAGTTTTGATGTGCAAAGGGGTATTTTTAAGCCTTATTAAAGTAAATCGCTTTATTTTACAGTCTCTCGTTATTAAAAAAGACATGCAATGCATTTTATATAAACCATTTGAAAAGTAATAATTTGGCTTAGAAATCACCTCTAGTTCTATGCCTTTATTGTGCCCCTTTTGAAAATCAGGATGCATGTCAGTAGATAAAAGTATCCAGAATGACGTGCACACTTTCACAAATGCAGCCTACAGCCTCTGAAAGGTGAGGTCTCCTGAATGCTCCAGACCAGGGTGTCTCTAATAACGCTGGCCCTGTTAGGCTTACTGGTCGCCCGCTTTCAAAGATTGTCAATACCTATAGGTTCTTGACTACTGGAATTACGCAACTCCTCCCATTAATTAAGAGAACTGCGGTCCCTGAGAGCAGAAGGGTACTTAGCTTTTAATCCTAAATGATCTCTGTACTCAAAGGAACAAAACACCTGCTGAATTGATCACACTGAAACTCTTCCAGGTCTTTATAAATTGCTGATCTAATGCTGACCTAAATAGAATCTGCTGGACTGGGGCTTCCAAGGAGCTTCCAACCCAGGGCTGAAGACCCCTGATCTGGACCAGGGGATCCCTATTCTGGTGCTGGAGACCCACATACCTGCGGGGTTGTGTTGCAGCCGAGTGTCTGGTTGCACAACCAAAACCTTCATTGACTTAATAACAGGATTCATTGGAACACATTGACAGTTTTCAGCTCTTGAACATGTTGGAGGTCACCTTTTCATGGTCACATTTCATAAGTAAAGTAATATCCCAAACAACCGAGTAGAATAATATGATTTGCAAATATTTCAATCAAGCAGCTTCAAACTTCAAGTTCAGCTTCAGTTAGGTGATGATGCTGGACTGGGGTGAAAACCAGCAGGTGTGTGAGCCTCCAGGACCAGGACTGAGTACCTCTGCTCTGCACTGTGGGCTTAATTCTTTAATTGGACAAATGTGTTGCTTCGTTGGAACCTCTTAAATGTTCTGCTCCAAAGCTGGAGATTTTAATGTACTTATACCGCACAGTAGTCAATAGATCTGGGTCATGGGGTCACTTCTGCTGCGCGGTCTGCTTGGGCCCAGTTAACGAAAACCTCAGGAAACAGTATGAGAACCGGACTCCTAGCTGCCAAAGAGGGCTGGTGTGCTCTTCAGACTCAGGGTGCATTGCTGTCTCAGTTCTCGGTTCTATACTCTGGACCTTGCCCAGTCCTCTTGACTGATGAACTAGTGCCTTCATAAACAGCTGATGCTGGATGAGACAGTTAAGGACCCCTGGCGTGTGATCTAAAAAGACTGAGAGCCTCCACCCTCCTCAATCTGCTGGCCATGAGAATGACGCGCAGCCCGCAAGCTGTGTATCTAAGCACAAGGACGGTCAGTGCCAGGTTCAGCTGTGTCCGCTAACTTCCTTTTTGTTTGGAAAGTGACATAAGGAGCCCGTCTTATCAATCAGCTCTCAGGACAATGATAAAATTAATTCCGTGTGCCAGAAATATAAATGACAAAGAGAGACTTTGCATGAATGACTGCTGCTGCAGGATACTTTGGGAACGTCCTGGTTGCAAGTTGTGTTTCTTAAGCATTGAGTCAGATAACCTTCTCTGTTCCACTGAAACATAATGTACTGTACATGTAGCCTATATTATGTGTCAATGGCGCATTTTCCTGGTTATTTGTCTTTTCCCACTAAATCCTAGGCAGTCTCTGAGCATGCCACAGGAACATCTAATTTAGAACGGTTGAGTGTGCATCTCATCTCCTCTCTCACCCTGATGGCAGGATAGATGTTACTCACCAGGCTGGAGTTGGCAGAGTTCGTGTCGTCTTCGGGCATGGGCAGGAACACGGCGAGGGCCACACAGTTGGCGAAGATCGTCAGCAGGATTATGATCTCAAACGGCCTGGCAGTGGTGGAGGGGCTAGCTCAGGAAAAGCTTGGGAGCGACAGAAGTTTGGCGGGAATGTGTGTGTGAATTAGCCCACCTGGAAACCTCAGAATGCCACAGAGCCTCAGAGAGCAGGGCTCAACTGAGTGACCTTTCACACACTGTTAGTGCAACAGACACAAGACCAAGCACAAAAACAAAGCAGACATCAGCGAGATGTGGCAGCTTGTACATCAAAACAGGCTCGATGCACTTTCTCTTCTAGAGGGCTGATAGTCATGTGTCCTGACATAAATGTTTGCCTTTTGCCTTAAACTAGACGATTCTCTAGAACTCAGGTCTCTGTTTTTTTCCAATCTAATTAGTCATTCAAACAATTAACCTAATTATTTCTAAATTGGACCTATACAAATTTTTCATAGAGTGTTTTACAGTTGATTACGCAAGCTATTAATTCTCCAATCACTTTGCTTAAAGGTTACTTATAAAACACTTCCTACCCTGGTTGAAAAGCATTACATTTTTGTAGCTAATACAACAATTACACCAATTATGTAACCGAGAACATGGGTGGGACAAAATCCAGAAGACACTAGACTCTCCAGGTATTGAGTTTGAGACCCCAGCTCTAGAACATCTTAACACTTACTAAAGACATTGAGGTTAAGTGTTAAATAGCATTACAAGTTTAAGCATTGAGACACATAGTTTATCCATCCATTATGAGTAACTGCTTTGTGCTGAGGGCAGGTACAAGGGGCAAGGCTCACACACATGTGAGCAAGTGAGAAAGTTAGAGATAGTAACCTCAATATCATGGCTTTGGATTGTGGGAGAAAACCTGTGTGGACATGGATGGAACATATGAACTCCACACAAAAAGCCCCCCAGGCAACAATGAAGCCAACAAAGAACAAAGAACAAAGATCTGTGAGGCAGCAGGTTTTACCATCACATCACTGTGGTGCTTCAAGCTTACTGTGTTGTATTGCAAGGTGTTTGACTTTGGTGCAGTGCTGTCGTCTGTGGGACTATGACGCAATACCTCTTAAGTCAATTGTGTGGAATTGATTAACCGTCATTTGTAACTTTTCTTATGTTCTCTTGTTGGTGGATGTTTAGACATTTCTACTATTTCAGTCATTATGTAATGGGGAGATGGGTCGTTGTCTTGTGGCATGACTATCGAATCTCTGCGGTGCCACAAGAGGGGCTTTTCTTAAGCAAACTCAGAAGGTCTTGAACTTTCATTTCAATGTAAACTATAGGGAATGATGCTTTGTGAAACTGTGCCATCCAAATTGATGTCTATTGAAGGCATCCTGACATGCACAAATGCGCAGGATGCAGGAGCTCCATGAATCACTTTGAGGCCGACACCTTGATCACGCCTGATTTACAGTTCAAGACACCTTGCCGCTGCAAGGCTTTGGTAGTGGAACCTTGGCCCTCTCCCAAGTTACTCAGTCATTTGGACCACTACAGGTGTCAGTGTTTTCATACTACAGGGGCCGCTCAACTGGTCTCCCTTTCAGCCAGAAGGGGGTGCTGGAATTAAAATTCCCCCTGCCAGCAGAGAGTGGTGTCTGTTTTTAGCCTGTGACGCGAGCCAACAGCTGCAGTGCCCCAGAATATCATTGTGTCGTTTAAATATATATGCATTAAAAAAACACCTAAATTTCTATCATCAGCTTCGATCATTGGGAGCACGTTTCTCCCGTATTTGGCTCCTTGACTAGCTGCCAAGCGCATTATCCCATCTTGGAAAAATGCTGTTTTCAAAAGGCTCTCTCCTCTGATGTTTCTAGAAAATTATTCAGTTTCTGGAAGTGCCTATGGGTTAACCTAACCTTTGACCCAGGGTGAATATAATTGTTTTTTTTTTTAAGTTTTGACATTAATCAGTGAACCCAGGAGTAAGAAGTAGAATTTTCATCTTTACCAACAAGAAGAAAGGTCTCAAGTCTCGATTCACATTTTAGGAACATTATGCGCCTTCGCTAACATAAGACTCTTGAAGCAGTAAACATGTCCCACTGCCAAACTGAAAACCTCTCAGAACCAAAACTGCTTTCTTAAGCCTGTGCTAACAAATGAATAATCCTTGTGCCTGACTGGTTTTAAACTGCTCACACTTGTAGGTCGTAATGTATCCAGAAATATCTCTGCATCTAGAAATGAGAAGCAACTCCACTGAGAACGCCGGTGTCCTGTCCCATGATTAATCGCGAACTTTCCAAACCAAATTTCGGAAAAAGCTACTTAACAGAAGAATCTTTCTTTTGGTCACAGTTCCAAATCCAGCCATTTAAAGATGGAAAAATATGAACAATTGTCTATGAACTGCACTTGGAATACAGGTATAGACTATGAACTATTCAAAAGCCAGCGTTGTCTCATGTTATTTTTTCTCTTTAATACAAAAGCCCTTTGCTGTAAGATTACTGGGAAGTTGAATCTGCGCAACGCCATATAAACAACTCATGACCATGTGAAGAAACTGATCAACCCTTTTAAATCCAAGGGTGTAGGGCTCCTCATAAACACAGCTAGAGAGAGCCAGCCCTGCTTTCTTTGACTAGCCAAACACAAACTTTCCCGTTGCATAAATGAAGACATGACAAAGACAGCAGTCCCAACTACCAACAATCTGTAGCTTCCTGCCCTCAGAGTGACTTACTGACTTTTCATTCCGGTTTGAGGGCTGGCCATGCTCTTAGCCGCTGGCCTCTCTTTTGCTCAGCTGGCCCCCGAGCTGGCCGTCCACGCGCCTCGCCGAGCTCGAGCCCCGAAGGATACTTCCACTCCACGATGCTGATGCAGGCTTTGCGGAAGGGGTTCTTCAGGGTCAGGCAGCACAGCGAGCGCGGGGGCCGGGGGTTGCCGCCGGTGGCTTGAAGTTTCTTCAGTTTCTCCTTCTGCTTTCTCCTCAGGGTCTCGCTGTCCATGATGATGGAGGCGGCAGGTCCCACCGCGTTGGACTCCGCCGTAGCCATCCTGGGGGCAGACCAAGAGCCGTGTCCCGACGGTGACGGTGTGTGAGGCGAGGACCCAGTAATCCTTCCCGCTGTAATCCTGGTAAGCCCGGGTTCGCCTGTTCCCCCTCACTCCTTTATTTTTCTCCTTCCTTCCCGGGACCAGCAGGCACACACTCACACACACACCCCCCCTCGCCTCCGCCTGCTCTCCCTCTCACTCTCTCTCGCTCAGCGGAGAGTGGAGTGCCTTTCTGCTGAGCTGGGTTTCTCAGAGGGTAAAACTACACCAGGCAGAAAGCAGCAGGAGGAGCAGTTGCCTCTGCGGCCTGAGCCGGGCCAGCATGGTTTAAATATAGACTGTGAGCGATGTCTCGGCAGTGGGGGGTGGGTGGGGTGGCGATGGGGCAGCGTAAGCAGAGCAGGGAGGCAGAGAGGCGCAGGGGCCGCCGAATAGCCTGTGGGCCCTGAGGCAGCAGAAAAGTAGGAAAAAGAAGTGCAGCTGTCGTCGGCTCATCCCACTTGTAGCTCCGAGCTCTCGGAGCAGAGCCGGGAGGGCGAGGGGGGAGGAAGTGGAGCTGGGGGAAAGGAGAAGGGGAGGCGTGCTGAGAGCTGTTGAACAGCAGCAGCGGAGGGGATGGCACGTTTCGATGCCTGTCTTCAGTGACACAGTGCAGATGGTGGGAGTGTTTATAACAGGCCTGTTAGCGAGACAGCAGAGTGGGGTGGCAGGGAGTTTTAGGTGGCACACCGAGAAGCGACGAAGCGTGGAAGCGAGTTTCAGGAGCTTTATTTAAACATTTACTCCTCCTGAGCACAACAAACTGCTGTGCTAATATACGGTTCTGCAAATTTGCCAAAATCGTGTGCTCCATTTCAAGACTCCCAAATCAGCTAATCCAGTTTACAGCTTTTTCAAAGTTGGTCATTTAAACCTTGGTTTTGTGATGAAGTGTTCCAACAAAACTAGACAAAATTAATCTTCAATATAGAATCCGGTAATTATTTTTTAATCTTTAACAATGATAGAGGTATGCATTTATTAAACCTACAACACTGAGAGCTCCTGTGAGGCCTCAACCAGAAGTTTTCTAATGACACTGCCTGGCTTCCATCTGATCATAACCAGAGCCCAAACAAACTACAGATTTCTTAATGATGATAACACTAATTCATGTGGTCACGCTTGTGTTGCTGGTATTCCCTGCAGTGTTGCATTCTGTAACTAACAATGTATTATGCTATTTCAGTCTTATTTCAGAAAGTATAAATGTTGCATAAATCAGAGTTCAGTTTATTTGTCAAATGTATGAAATGCTTTTAAGTGCAGTGGAATGCTTATATAAATTCATATAAGCAGAACAGTCATTTAACATCGGTAATATAAAAAATTAAATTAGCAGTTTATGAAACATCAGGGTACTGACTTCACTTACAGTCCTTATGGTCCAGGTGGAATGTGCAGGTGAAGAGTCTCTGACTGTGCAATGGCTCCACCTAGTGGTTCACAGGGATGTGTAAGTGAGGCAGTACTAGAGATACTGCACTAGAGAGGGACAGCTCTAGTTTCTGAGTGCTACATTCTTAGGATTCCTAAAACCACCAGTGGCTGAAGATCTTTGAAAAGTGTTAAACTAATCAGGTACGGCCTATACAAAAGTTCATTGCTCCAGTACTGGATAGATGCAGTCCAGCAGCAGGAAAAACTGGGGAAAGGTGTTAAATTGCAGAAACAGTTTCCCTCCAGAACTGGGATTGAGTTTATAACTGTGCATCACATAATTAGGTTGTGTAAATCTGACAGATCAAAAACAGTGTGTGTCCAGTAGAACTATATGTATGTACTTATGCATTAGTAGCAAAAAATGCATTAATTGCTGTAGTAATCAAAGAGTAATCAAAGTAATCAAAGAGCTAAACACTACAGTATATCAAGATGGTAGTCATATTTAAAAGAACTATAATCATGGTGAAGCATCTCTTTGAAAAAAAAATAAAATAAATGTTCCTTGAAGCACAAACACACATTTTTCATTTTTACTTTTTATTAGAAAGTTTTCCATCATACATCATTGTTGGGCTAGGGTCTAATGCCTCTTACAAGTTGAAGGGTGCTACACAGAGTCTAGGATAAAGTGCAAAGCAGTATCAGTAAAACTGGTTACAAACTGTCATTTAAAGAACAAACTTTGACACACGGCTCTAGTGGTACAGTGCTGTCAACATGGCAATAAGATCAAGATTGAAAGATGATCACAAACACACACAACACTAATCCTGCTATTTGGTATGAACTGTGTAAGGATGGTCAAACAGGAAAGACCTCAGTGGTTTTGCAGTCACAGATGACCTTGAAACATCAAGGGCAGTTGCTGAGAAGGGGATTCGCACTTTGATTTACAGAAAGTCTCCAAAACCATTTCACTAGCAATAACATCAACCATGAATTAAGGTACCATTCTACCTTACCATTATAGGTATATTTGGAAGTGAATTAAAATCTGAAACTTGTGACTTGGATTACTGTATATCAACTAAGGCTTCAATTATTATCCAATTCGGGTGGGCTGGAATGAAAACCAGGAGATGTGTATGGTCACCAGGACCAGGATTGGGAACAACAGTTATAGATCCACATTCCGCCTTACTATGTCTGTAAAGGCCAGGAAAGGCAAGCACCTTTACATTTCTTTCTGGAAGTCTCTGTTTCGTCCCAGGTTCTGTAAATGTTCCAGCTGAATTACTGTTTACGGTCTATCATCTTATAGACAAACTGTCACATCATAGCATTATAATACATACGTGTTTCTGAGCTTAAACTAGCTCAAAAATTAAAACTCTTTCCTAAGAAAACTAAATTTGGTAATTTCAAGTAAAATTACATTTTTTTTCAGAAACGTATAAGAACACAGTGTCATGTTTTTTACAGCTCAGCAAATACAGTCTGCAGGAAAAGGTTCAATGCAGTTCATTAAAGTAGTTTGGAGACATCATCAAGCACTACAGAAAGGCTGTAAATGGTTTTTAGATTTATGACAGATGTGTGATTTAATTTTTCCCTTCATGTCTTACCTAAACTTACCTTCAGTCATGATCTCTCCACCCCTAAGACACTATGAGCAGTGTTAAAAACTACAGTTGAAATACTTCTGCTTCCTAAAATGTTTTAGCTTTCAATATCGCTCAGGGACTGTTATGAATGGAATGACCAAAAAACCTGTGGCCCACAAAGTCTCTGAAGTCAGCCTTGCCTTTTGCAATCCAGTTGTCTGGGGTGCTGTATTAAACTGAAATGTGAGAAGAAATTTGAAACTAGTGATGTCCACAGTCCATGTTGTCTGAACCTCGGGATTACACTGATCTATTGAAATATCGAATGGACGTGCCTTCCATGACTCACATAGATCTTGGAGTGGGTTGTGATGCTCAAGAACTTGATAGCTTCTGGTTCTGTGTGGTGGATGATGCCAGCCTCATTGGGATTTTTAAAATCAGAGTACCCTGACTTTTGTTTTGGTTGTCAATGTGCTGAACCTTTAGTTAGACGATTGACAAGGATAAAGACCTTACCAGAGCTGCTCATTCATTGGTCCAGTGCTCATCCTGGTTTCCACAACGTCATGGACTAGTTAGGACCCACCCACCGAGAAGGGATGCTGGTCTGTTGCAGGGATCAGCCCCAGCAACACTCACCTCTCTAGAACAGCAGGGTGTCATGTGGGGACTCAAACCCACAGCCTGCCACTCATGAGCCCAAAGGTTTCCCCCTTGAGCATGCTACTCCCTGCATCATAGCTGGGGGTTAAAAGGTAGCATGAGCCCCTCCTGTAGAGGTCCTGACCAGCTGGCATTCAAACAGAGTCGACACATCGCTAAGAATGGTTACAATGAGAGAGTGTCATTGCCACTTGTTTCTGTATATCTTTAATTGCTCATCTATCAGGAGTTATTTAGACCACTGTGGTTGAGCAGTAATTCTAAATTGTTGACGTATCACATTTGCCACATTTCATGGAAATAATACACAGAAAGGAGAGTATTTCTCAAATCAAGATGGGCATCAAAAACAGTTAAAATCAAGCGGATGATTGATTTATGTTCAACTACTTTATCTAATTAAGAAATCGGTTGGATCAAAAACCAGGAGTGAGAGGGACACTCCAGGAACAGGATTAGGAAACCCTCATTAATTTGTGGTAGTTTTATCCCTCTGCCCGTGTTATGGCTTGTCGGTCTGCATCCCGCCACAGTCAGAGCTGGTTCGTCTCTAGCAGCTTCAGGCGGGCCTGTTCTCCCCCTACTCCGCCTTCAGGCCTCAAGCCTGCAGTCAGGGCCCGGCCCTCTCTAGCTCAGCGACTCCTCGGACTCGCAGTACGGAGAGTCGGAGGAGGAGGAATTCTGGGATTCCCCGTCGCTGTTGCAGTCCCTCTTGACGCCTGCCTCGGCCGGGGTGGGAGTGGCATTTCTGGGGCCCTTGCCGCTCCTCTCCTCTGCTTCGGCGCCCGCCTGGGCCCCCCGGCTCACCAGATCCTGCAGGTACTTGATGTAGCGGATGGCGGCCCGCAGCGTCTCCACCTTGCTCAGCCGCTTCTCGGACACGGCGCCGGGCAGGTGGTCCCTCAGCCTGGCATAGCCCTCATTGACGCACTTGACGCGCTGCCTCTCGCGCTCGTTGCGCTTCTGGATGAAGGCGGGCTCGAAGGGGCAGTCGTACACCCCGAAGTGTCCGTGGAAAGGCACGTAGGGGAACAAGGCACCCCCGTAGGACGCCTCATAGTAGCTGGGGTCCATGTTGGCCGGGTACAGAAGGAAGGGCACATGAGCAAGAGTGTCTCCGGGTCCAGCAGGGGGGTGGCAGCGGTGGTGGGCGTGGTGGTGGTGCTCTGAGTGTGAGTGACCACCAGGGGGCGCTATGCCATATTGCACACAGCTCCCTGGCATCATGCCGGGTCTGCGCTCCATTAAGGCATGAGAGAAGCTGGCATTCATCTCTGTGGTGGCAGAAGAGGTGATGAGGGGCTGCAAAATGCAGGCAGACAGTCATAGAATGTCTTGATCTCACTGAAACCCCCAGTGAAGGTGCAAAAGATCAGTTAATAAGTTAATAGTGTTTCCTAAAATTCCTTTATGTATATTTTATTCTGCTAAAGGAATGTTTAAATGCTCTCCTGCCAACACCTAAAGCAGTTTATTTGGATCCTCATTGCAAGATACATCACATCAGTGAAATTGACCTTCATTCCTCTTACTGATCTGAAGTCATGAAGAATTGTCTCATTTTTTTTTTTACTTTAAATCAAATGTCTTAGCAGCAGGTTTTTAAAAAGTCATTTTATTACAGCAATCCAGAATCCCCGGCAGGCTCTTTATTTCAGGAAAATGACCATTTTTTCTGTGTAGATTCAGTCTGTCCTGGAGAGTCCTAGGACCCAGAGCAGGCAGAGAGCTACCCGAGTCTGGATTTCGGCTTCTTTCTTAACTTCAAACAATGCTTTCTCCTCCTTGCTCGGGCTCTGGGGATGTAATTAAGAAATGAAAAGAGGTTATACCTTCTGTAAAAAGCTTACTGAATTTCAAAGGCACATTGATTCGCAATAATAATATAGTCAGTAGAAGCAAGTAAATTGGATGAAGAGTGTGTCACTCCTTTGCATCTCTTGTTATAGTGTGTGGAGCACATTTTTCCATCCCGTAAACAAAGAAGACTCTTAAGGGCCCTGTATTCAGCACTGTTTCATAGTGGTTGGGATTGTTGCCTTGCAGCACTGGGGCCCTGGGTTCAATTTCAGACTTGGCATGCTACAGTATCTGTGTGGAGTTTGTATAGCATGTTCACCCCACATTCATGTCAGTTTCCTCCAACAGTCCAAAAAAAAAACTCTTGGATTAATTGGCTTCTGGGAAAATTGGCCCTGGTGTGAATGTCTATGTTTGTGTTTGTCTGCCCTGCGATGGACTGGTGTCCTGTACTGTATCCCTATTGCTTGCTGGGACAGGCTCCAGCTCTCCCATGACCCTGAATTGGAAAAAATCGGTTGGAAAATGGATGGATAATAAACATTGAACAGTACTTTTATGGTCAGTTAGCATTTACATAAAGTCGGGGTTGATAGGGTGGCAACAGAAAAGGCCAAACTAAAACTTGTTACCATATCAATGTTCCTATGTACAGTATTAGTGTCAGAGAAATGGAATTCTATTAAAGCTAAGCTCTGAGGTTACTTGAAGAAGATGTTCTCCCACATAAACGTTAATAAAAGTAATTACACATACTCCTTCCATTATTGAAAGCAGTTAATTTTAAACAATTGACAATTGAAAGTGATACGACATATGCATTATTGTGATATTCATAAGCAGAGTGTACATGAATATTGATTTATTGCACACAGACTGCATATCAGAGTAGGAACATGAGAACAGATTTGGAGAGGCATAGCTGTGGGACAGATGGTTAGAAAACAGGCAGATAAAGCAATCACTTTAAAGGGTTAACAGCTATTTAGGGCCTTTGGAGTCATTTCTCTTCTCATCTCTTGTGTGGTGATCTAATCCCCCTCCACCCCACTTCTCAAACACACTGCTGGCTGATTGACACTGCTGTGAAAACACAGGAATTCCCCCGGTGTGTGAGGCTAATGCTCCCACTCGGTGTCAGGTGTCCTAATGAGCCCCAGGAACCGCCTGCCAGAACCGCCACAGTAGTTCAAAACAAGTGAGAGATGTCAGCCGTACTTCCATCTCTCCATTTCTAGCAACCACTGTATGGGCAGATTCCTGGGGAGTAGGAGCCTGGCCTGGCAGGCACGGGGGTCACAAGGTGGACTGGATCCTGGGTGGGACACCTGCCCCTCACACAGCGACATTTTAAAGACATTGTATTACTGGGAGGACGTGGCTTGGAACTGTGGGAGTCAACTGGAGCACACACCAATTCAGGGAGGGCACGCTGTCTTGTCTTGTTAATAATGTGAAAGGGGACAAGGCAGATACACCGCAAAACAGCCAGTGCTAACTCTCTGCGTTTGTTTTCGCAACCTACTTAGGAGCCTGAAATACTGTGAAATGTAAAGGTTGCAAACGGGTAAAAAGCTCAGCAGCCTACAGTACCTCTAACGCAAATCTGTCCACTGGGTTTTCAAAATATTTGTTTTTTCATCAACATAAGAGCAATGCAGAAGAAGGAATGGGAAACCCCAGAGAAATCCATTTTTTTGGAAATTTCTAAGTGAATTGTTGAGTTTATGCAAACAGATATGGCAATCAATAATACTTGTGCAGCTGGTACCTGTCTCAGAGGACCCTTCCAAATGAGTTTGATTAATTACTGGTAATTAAACTTTTTACACTAGGAAATCTGGTCTGTCAGCAGTTGGGACTTTGATATTTTTGTCAGATTATTGTTTTCCCCCCTGGGTTTCTCAGCAGCTAAAATGCAGCACATATTGTTCCTGCACCTTGCTCTTTGACAGGTCATTACAAAGGAGCTGTAAAGATTAATGTGTTGTCCAAGTAAAACTAAAGACGGTCAATCGATATAATGTGCAGATAGAAGAATTTATGCAAGATCAAATAGACTAGTGGTTGACATGATTGACATCTTTCGTGTTTAGAATGTAAGTATGAAACATTGTCAAATCCATATAAAAATTGATTGAACCTACTGTTCAGACATTAACATTTTAAGTGAGAGCACTTGATACAGTACAGATATAAATGTAAAGGGTACATTAACAAGACATCTTAGTGTGTTGAATGAAAATGCTGGAGTATTCTAAAATAGCATGGTGTGTTTCTTGCTAAAGTTAAGATATTATTATTATTTTTCTTGTAGGATTATAAATTTATGCAATACCAGTACCTTATCCTTTTGTGTTTAAAAGTACTTCAATTTGTATATTTGTTTGTTCATTGTATTGCACTTACTGTATATTTTTAAAATGTAGTATTGTTCCAGTTAATATTTCACTTTTTCTCTTGCCCAGTGCCTTCATGTGCCACGGTGCCTTTATGTTTTTTCTGAAGTGCCATCAGATGATAGTCATTCCATAAAATCGTGAACCTGTACTGACTAGAGACATTGTATGTGTGTTTGTGATTACTAGACAAGGGACATGAAATTATTAAAATACATGTATTTATAAAATTTCATGTACATGTCTAAACTTTTGATGTTAGCTTTACTGAATCTTAGTTGTGGAGAGCAATATCAAAGAGATAGTTACCAGATTTAAGATTATTTAAGTGTTCACTGTAGACTTAGTGATTTTACTCTACAGTTTCCAGGGTGTCAGTCCCAGTTATTGGTAATCTTTAACCTTGTCTTGTCCGCAGTTATAGAACTGATGTGTGGCAGGACTAGATTCAGACAAAGAAGAGCCCTGTAAGAACACCACCTTCATTAATTTGCTATATTGCTGACATAGCTTTCTGAGTCCAGTACAGCAGGATATTTACTATGTTCCTTTTCAAATCAAATCAAAACCCGAATACAGTATTTTACATCCAGTATTTGATAGCCAGAGCCGTGAAATAAATGTGCATCTCAACACTTATGTAATATGTACAGGGATGTTTCAAAAAGTATAAGAAATTCATTAATAAGCAAATGGCCATGTATTGTGTTATTTCTCTACATACATGTACTGTAGTCTTTACATTTTACAGTACAGGCCCTCCAGCAGCTCATGTGACTTGATGTTGCCCTGATAGAAACCTTGCGCTATCTGTTGGACCTAATGGTCGATGGCAAACCCTTGATCATCTCTCAGGGGTCCACAGAGGTCAAAGCTGAAGAGGCCAAGATGTGGGCTGTGCAGAGGGTGTGGTAGAACGGTCAGTGACTGCCCAAGCATCATGTGGTCTCGCATGCTTAGTGCCTTATTCTGCCCATCTCTGCACCCTTGGTATTGGAGCTGGAGGACTTTCTGCTTCTCACAAGACATGACAGTAGGAGGTACAGTTCTGGCTTTTACTGCAACCAAAAGGCTTCCCACAGGGATGGCATCCAGTCAATGAGACCTGGTTGTTTCTTGTTTATCTCTGGCTTTAATGTTTATAACACCCCTGTACTGGATATACTGTACAGTATAGCAGAACTGTTGAGATGCATCTTTGTTTCACAACACTCCAGCAGTCTTACACAGATGCTGGACAGGCATGTGTGTTCAGATTTTCAGTACATAAGCCTGTTTAAGCTTTGTTGATGGCACCTGTACTTTTCTGAGACAGCCCTGAGTATGAAGGTAAATTTATATGTGTATAGCTATATATAAATCCAGCGTCAGAAGATTTGCAGATTAATTGCTTTCAACTTCTATGAATTCCCATATTTTTAGTTTTAATACCTGTTATCTTTTTTTATTGGTTCCAACATGCCTCTCCATCTGCTGTGAAATAAACCACATCAATAATATGAAGCCTGTATAAATATAGATCGGAAGAGCTAAAATAAACAACGCAAGGCTGGGAGACTGGCAGCATAGATCTAAGGCTTTGTAAACACTTGGGAGAAAATGATCTTTGCTTGAGCAGCTTTGGTACATGCGCTTTGTTTGTTTATACTGTACAACTTAGTGGTGGAGGATGGACTGCGCTGTTCAGCTGTGTAGTTATTGTTTTACAGTTCATATGCTTTGGAACTTCACAATCACTCTGCATTTATTTTTTTAATTACAGATCAGAAACATGTAAACAGTTGCAATTGTGTATAGCTGCAAAATCTACTTCTTTTACTGCTATTTATCATTGCAACAGGAGTTTAATTTATTTGTGTGATGCTTTCCCCCGTTCACAGAGCTGGGTATTTAACAAGTGCCATGCTCAAGGGTACAACTGCCGTTCCTGGGGTTACCTGGGATGTGAACCTACAGCCTTCCAGTTCCAAGCCCAGCTCTCTAACCGCTGTCCCACACTGCTGACCCACACATGGGCTTTCCACATCGAATAGACTCTGCAGGTGCCAAAAGTGGGGCATCTAGAGATAGTGGGACTGATGAGGCTTATTCTCCGAGGTTTTGACATCGATCTCTGCTACTACTACAAAACTATTTAAGTTTTTCTTCGTGAAAAGAGAAACGAGCCTTCTAATTTAGAACTTTGAACGTAAACAGCCTTAAGACATCATAAATGTTCCTTGTAATCATTCTATCACTACGTGTCCTACTTCCTTTTTAAATTAGTTTAATTGATAACAATTTTACTTTGATTTAAAGCTGTTCATTCCAATATTTCAGCATATTGCATCATTCTCTCTGGTGGCGCTGATAACGTAGAAGTGAGGAATTTGCTTTTTAAATGTCTTTTCTTAGTGTTAAATAGACTTGGTTGGGGAAATTACTGTTTTCTGATTTTAATGAAAAAGCTAAACAAATGTCTTTAAGTAAAAAAGAGTTTGGAATCTATTCTTTTAGTGTTACCTTCTGTAACTTTCTTAAATTACAATAATTTGACACACTTTTTTTGGAACTTTCAGTTGATGATTTGGGATTTCTTAGGTGTGGATTTGAACTTGTGTGTATACGCACTTGAGGTGTGCCCATATTCTTCTGGTGGTATTTATTCTAAAAGCACAAAAGCAATGAAGGATCAACAGAATTTATACCATGAAGCACCTGCAAAACACAGGTTTGAGATCATTGTTTCAATTTCACACTTTTTAACCTCTATGAACCTTTATGCAACTTGTTTCCTGCTACAAAGGGTAGGACTGCTGTGCTTCTTATTGTAAAAAACAGCTGTACATTCTTAGGCGATTGTACGCCAACCGAACAATTTAATGTGGTGATTGAAATACTGGGTATAGTGGCTGTGCTGTAGTTTCCCTGCTTTTCTTTCCCTGTAATGTAAGTGGAAAAGTATGTGCTTACCTGCACCTCTGATGCAGTGCTTGCACTGGGCAGGCGATGATCTTAATGGAAGTGGGAATGGGAGGACTCCAGCATTGAGCCAGCATGCAGGTCGGAGGCTCCAGTAGACATGTGCAGTCCTTTTTCACCCAGGCTTCACTGGCAGTTTCCTTAGCTAGGCTGATCCGGCGGCGGGCTTTTCTGCTGTAGCGCCTGTGACTGCAGAATCCCCTCTGCGTTCGATGTGTGCGCTGCGCAAGAGAGGGGCAGCATGCCTCAGCCTCTTACCTGCCTCACCTGATCCTACTTCAAAACAGCACCCCGCCCACCGGGGAGGGGAGATTCGCCAAGCTGCTGTGGGAGCTAGGAGTGACACATCTCGAAAGGAAGGCAGGGAGACACTGACCAAAGAGAAAGCTCAAAGAAAACCGGGCACCTTACTCACTAGGCATGCTCAACTCCTCAAATCCAAGATGTAACAGATTGGTGGTTCTTAAAAACTGGAAATCACTAAACTGTTTTATTATGTCCAATAATCCATTTTGATTTAATTCTGACCTTAAAGTTATTTTATAGAGTCTTTATAGCCTTACATGATGGAAAACAAAATCTGGATTCCTGGTTTTGCAGGAAACTTTTCATTTGTCATTGTCTTTTGTATAGTGATTAAACTTAATTAATGGATACTGATTGAACCAATTATACAGAATGCTTTAAATTAAAAATTAGAGTGAAATTCCATGGCAAAATCCTGTGTGGTGCCTGTAGATCTACCCACGTTTCTGCCCACATTTCCTCACTCTCCCGTGTGTGAAGTTGTGAGGTGTCTTGCTACAGTACAAGATGCAAAAAACACAAAGCATGATTCCGGAACCTGCGGATCTGTGTTTGGAAAGGAGGGAGGGGGCCTGAGTGGCTCGGAGTGCAGGATGAGCTCAGTGGCACAGGTGGTGGCTGCCATGAGCCTGCCTCATGCCAGGACCCCAAGAGCATTGCTAAGGCTTGGGTTGGGATTAGCTGCGACAGGTTTCCCCCAGTTCCTGGTGCAGCAGGATCTCCTGTCATCGCCTGCAGGCTTGAAGTGGGAGATACCCTGCCTCTCTTAACGTCCTGCGCTAGCCTACACCACTTCTCCTGTAGGACACTGTCCACTGAAGAATAGTCAGCCAGAGAGCAGTCCTAAAACTTTTGTTGATTCCCATTTGGCTGGTTACATAATAAGAATTGTATAGATGTCTTTAACATAAAGACAAAAAGATGAGGCACAGGTGTGAGTCAGCAATACATTTTCTCACTTTGCTTAGGCCATGATTTAGTATCTATTTTTATATAGATACTATATATTTAGTCTTATTCTGGAGATCACTTATATTTGTATTTTACTCCTCTGATTAAGACTAAGTAATTTAATGTCATTAAAGTCATTTGTAGACCTTTGTGCACACCAGTTTTGTCTAATTTAAAATGTCAATTAAAGTGACAATTATTCTTGTTCATTGGAAGAGTTTGGTCACTGTAGTTGCCTGGTGTATATGTGTTGAGATTGTCGTCAAAAAAGACACTAAAGATCAAGAAGAGAGAGATTGTGTTACAGCCAGGATGAAAGTGCAGGAGTCTGACAGAACTATAGCTCCCTCCCTCCCCACGACTCAGAAGTGGCTTGTGTTAAACAGAGCTGTCACTCCGAGAAGACAGCATGTTAGACTTTTGAAATCCCGACTTAACAGCAAACGCAACACAAATCTTTTCATGCCAAAGAAGACAGAAACAAAGAGCTTTGATTTCTCCGTTTGCTAATATAATAGTGTTGTCTAGCTCTAGAGCGGGAGAAGATCGCTTTGTATTGATATATCTGTTTGTGCAGATTAGACAAAACCTTAAATTAGAAAAAATAATATCTTGATTTACACATCTTCAGATGTTAATTACTCTGTCTTAAACAGTCACAATGATGTTCAATTTTGTCTCCTTTCGATCCTGTACAGTAGGTGGTTTTCATGCTTGTATATATTTGTTATTTTCATCAATTATGTCTTTTATCTCTTGCAAATATTAAGAAGTCACTAGTACAATTAAAAGCCAACTGCTTAAACACAGATAATTGGTGGAGAGAGAACTGCCTATTCTTTGGCAATATTGACCCAGAGTCACAATGAAGGTAAAATGATTTCTAATATGCTTCTGGGTTTTTTAGCTCTGCTTCAAGTGTAAAAAGTGATAGTTTAGTTGAGCTTTTTTTACTATACTCTCATACACAAAAAACAGCACTCGGGTCTAGTGAATTTAATCAGATATTTTAAATAAAGATGAAAAATTCAAAATCACAGGATGGAGGCAAAAATATAGATCAAAGAACTAAATTAAGCTTTTCAGTATATAATGCAACATGTCAATATGAAAACAGTGTGCAGTTAATTTTGATTTTTGGGTATGACTTTCCTGAGCAGTAACACACTCCTGACATCTTCGAGGCACGGTCCTGCTCAGGCTCTGGACAGGCTGCTGTGGGACCCTCTGCTTCTCCTCCTGCAGAGCTGCAGCCAGAGAATCACGGCTGATTTGAACATCTTATTGCTCATTGTGAGATCTCTGCCCACGTTGTCTTCCATCAGGTCTGTCAAGGGTGCCTCGCTAAATAAATCGCTTCCTCAATCTCGATGCTACCATGTGAGATTTTCTCTGGCCCAGGAGGATGGCTGTCTCGTCTCTCAGCTGTCAACGTGTTGCCCTTACAATGGCCTGTGAGTAGGCAACTCATTTTCATGTGGACAGCAAGGCACATTCATTCTGCTTATGCACTGCATCTTGCTTCTGAAATTCCTCATGCCTGAGGCACTGCAGTCTGGAAAAGATCATCTAAATGCACCAGGCATATGTGACTGTCCTTGAGTCATGTGGAGACCTGCCTCCCAGGATGTGGCCTGTCCCCTGACAGTTTCTCTAGACTGGGCTGCTTTTTCCTGAAGCAGGACATCTCATTCTTCAGGAAACATTGCTCATGTTCATTTAGCAAAGTTACCTTCAGTCGTGCCATCAGCCAGCTGGAGTTTTTTTTACTCAAGTGGGGCATGGTTCTATCTTTTGCTGATTCAGAATTGATTAAAATCACATCTTTTTGAATGTCTATACAGATTCTTGATCAGCTGTTTTTGGCAATTATAACTCACTTCAATTACCAAATACTGAGCACCAGGCGGTTTTAGAAATCATGTAACTCATTGTGCAACTCATCTTTCACAGTACTAAAACTACATAAATTTCAACAAACGTATCTATTCACTGTTTAAAATACATCATAACGTACATTTTCCATTAGTCATTGATGTAAACATCAGACTTCCATTTTCATTGTGCATCATCCATCCAATTCAGGGTTTATCAGGGAACTGGAGCCTTTCCTGGCAAGCAACAAGCACAAGGTGAGATGCACTCTGACAAGGACACCTGTGCATCTAAGGGTTAGTTTTTCCAGAAGCCAGTACACCTACTGCAGTGTGTCTTTGTAATGTGGAAGGAAACCCATGCAAACATGAGGGGAACATACAAACTCCACACAGATAGTACCCCAGGTGTGGATCTGAACCTGGGGACCCTGTGCTGCAAGACAGAAATGTTAAGAACTGTACCACTGTGCGGTCCTCATTGGTTATCAGTATTTAAAAATACCATAAAGTGTCCTGCACAAGTTCATTTAGACTTTTTGGAGCAGTGTGTGATTTAGTTTTTACACAAGGGGGTTTCTTTATGAAATCTCAGTTGTAACCATCTCTTCTGGGTGGGATTGTGGTCTCCATTAGCTACTAGTCTAGTAACAGACAGTATGTATAATAAGTGTATAATATAGGTCAAATAGCTTTCTTTTATTTGTAACCTTTCTTACGTATGATAGCAACCACAGCTGTGCTCCATAAATCAACTTGAACATTTTTTAGAATGTTTTAATATAAATGTGGTTCTAATGAAACTGCAAAATATATACCAGCACAACATTTTTTAATGTCTGATCATCACTGTTAGGCCACCCTTTCCCGTCCCGTGACTGTCGCCTAAAACACCGGCCTGTTGCAAATTAAAAATAGTCCCCTCAGCAGAGACATCAGAGCCAGGCTGCTCCTGGAATAATCCCCCCGTTTTACAGCACTAATTAAACTGTCTGGCGCCCCCATTTCTCCCCCTCCCCCATCCTCCCCCTCTGACCTGCAATTACTGATCATATTGTAAACAGGAATTTTATTTCAGAACAATGCCGAACAAGCTCAAACACGCTGTTCACTTTGAACCTGCTACCCGGTTTAGTTTCAGTGACATCAGAGACAGGGGGTTTTGTTCCAGCCTGGGCCGTCCCAGTGAGGAAAACGCACCCAGCAACTTGAAACACCCCTGCACATCAATCACAGCCCCACACGTGAGCCCCCACTTCTATATCACTATCCAGAGCAATATCAGTAACTCTTTGTCTGCCGAGCCTTGCTTTTCTGCTTTGACTTCAGTATCCTGGGGTGAAGGCTGGTTGAAAATTCAGCTTAGTTTGCATTTTAAGATGGTGTTAAAATTGTTTTAAAATTGTGGGAAGATCCTGAAACTGACCTTGACTTGGCAGAAGACTTTATATGAGTGTGAAGAAGAGCTATTCATAAGAGCGATCTATTATGTCGTCCCTTTGTATCCATAAATACGTTAATTGATGAGATGAAGTAATGCAGTTAAGTGTAGTTTTACAGTTGTTAGTAAATTATATGCACAACCTCATATCACATATAGGGTGCTTCTATGCAGACTAATGAAACTGTATAAGTCTTTTCTAGACGTAACTAACTTGTTTAAGTGGAACAGAGCAAAACAAAGCAATAGATTTTCCCTAAAAGTACAGTGTCCCTTATCCTGTGTGATTCTATTACATTGCCCAGTCTAAGGATCCTGGTGCTCTGCCTCCAGAGTGGATTATCATTATGTTCTGAGCATTGATGATTCATCATCATCACATCCCTTTAAATAACCACTTATCCAGTGCAGGGTCATGGTAGCCCAGAGTGTATCCCAGGAAATAACAGGCTAAAGACAGGATGCACAGTGGATGGTCCATCACAGGGCCAGTTTTACAGAAGCCTGTAGCATGTCTTTGGACTCGGAGGAAACCCACGGGAACCTAGGGAGACTATACAAACTCCACACAGATGGAGCCACTGGTCTGGAATTGAACCCAGAGCCCCAGCGCTGCAGGGCAGCAATGCTCACCACTGTGCCACCATGTCACCCACATTGATCATTCTTAGTATGAAAATAAGATTGTACTGGAAGGGAAATGACGTATAACGCAAGCACTGTGCCCTGGGTGGACAGGCACAGCGCACAAATGTCTCGGCTGTGCCAGATCTGTGTGCTATTTGAAATTGTGTGTGCCAGACACTCTAGAAGCAAGTGTAATGCTTAAGTTATGTACCCTGCATCTTTAAATGAGGAAATATGTATTAAATATATCAACTGCAAAAAAGTTATTTTCCTTCATAACCCAACCCTGGTGCTGGGAACCCGCACACCTGCCAAACTTTCAGTTGCTTAACTGAGTTCTTAACTGTCCCAATAAGATGAATCACCTCTTTGAATTCAATTTTGAAACATGTTGGAGGTTGTGTTTTAACTGATGTAGTTCATGTGTAATTTCAGTGGGGAAGAAATAGATCTTCAAATGTTCTAATGAAGCAAAGTCTCAATTAAGTAGAGTTAGGCTGGATCAGACATGTGGGTCCCCGGGGTTCAGAATGGGGGACTCTTATCTTAACATAATGGTGATTTAAAGTTCTAAAACCAGCAGTACAGGGCTGTAACTGAAATATCCATATGCTATGTGTGGATTATACTTCTAATACTTTTAAAACAAAATTTATTATTTGTTAAACATTATTTTCAATTCCTGTAAAATAATAATAGCAAAAAGGCTTTCATCCTTCTCTTTGGAATATTACAACAGGACAGAAATTATAAGTCTTTCAATTGCTGTTTTACTGATTTGTTTGCATGGCAGAAACAAAGACATCCTTTAATTAACAGAATTAGCAGAAACTGGGAATGAACTGTGCCCACAGTAAGAACATAAGAACAGGTACAAGTGAGAGGAGGCCACTCAACTCATCGAACCCGTTTGGTACTGCAGTTAGGAGCCAATTAATCAGAGGATCTTATCCACCAGTTTCTTGAAAGAAATCAGAGCATCAGCTTCACCAATATGGCTGAGTAGCAAGGTCCATACTTCCACAGCCCTTTGGGTAAAAAGTGCCTCCTGTTCTTGGTTTAAAATGCACTTCTGTGCAGGTTTCTACTTAAAGTGTGTCTTCTGGTCTGTGTTTCACTGTTCATTCTGAAGAAGTCCTCTGGGTTGACATCGTCAGTGCATTTAAAGATTTTGAATACTTATATCAGATCACCTATTAGTCTACTGTGTTCAAGTTTAGTTTTAACTGCGAAACCAATGGAAAATTGAAACTAGTAAAAAGAAGTAATACACTACTAATTGTGCAGTGTCTTTGAGGTATCTTTACCCCAACTACAGTACCATTTAGAAATATAATAAAAGTACCAGCAATCATAACTAAATAATCAAGCATTCATATAATTAATTATAAATAATTAATAAAGCAATCACTAGCAATTAAATAATACATTATATATAAATATCATAAAACACAGGCTTCTTAAAGTGGAATGAGGAAATTCATTTTTGAATAGGAAATATCCATTAGACAGTATAATATAGTAAGAAAAAAATGTAATTTTGCAGAAGAGAAATGTATTCAACTAAGTTGCTAAATAAGAGGGAAAATTATTTTGAATCAAAATAACTAATATAAATATCAGAAAATGCACCGGAGGTATTCCTCAAACAAAGAATGTTCAATCTCAAACGTCTCTGGGGTTGAGACCAAACCCACAAGTAAAAACAGCTCCCAGTGTGTAAGATACCGATGTAGGGCTGGAATCTCAAAATACAAGAGAGCAGAGCTGCATAGAGCCAGCAACATAGTAACCTTACCAGGCCCTGTGTGCGTGTGCATGCATGGTGTTGTACGTGCATGGCAGAATGTTAGTATGGCTTCAGACCATACTAACTTCAAACAACACAGATATCCGTCTGATTTTGTAGCACGTGATGAAAATACAATTTAATCCACATCTCGGTGAGTGTCGTACATACTTAACAGCCATAGGATCTTGCTAGGATGCTCCTCTTTTAAGCTAGCTATTGTTCCTGCTCAAGCATTTTTAATAAACTCTTACTGTAATTTAGAGTGAAGAGAGTGGCAGGACTGAATGATGACGAAATTCTCAAAAAAAAAGTTCTTGGGGATCAGCACTGTGCAGAAATGGAGTTCACATTTGTCCCACACCAACAGTAAATCACAGCTTAACTTGGAAAGCTAAAGACCCTAACCCAGGCTTTTGCACGCCTGCTCTGAAGTGCTTTGAAATTACTGCGCCACCATTTTCTCTTTGTTCCAGTCTAAACATTACATACTGTAGCACTGATGTCTCAAATTACCTTTGTTGCTGTCCTCAGTACTGTGTTCTTTTTAAAGGCATTGGTTTCTGTCCATGATTTCAAATGCAAGAAAAAATCCTAAATAAATAAATCAGGTAAACCTCAGTGCTTGTTGATCGTGAGGGACTAGAACAGCATGGGAGCTGATCAAAAGACCTGGCCCTGTTTTTCGGAGGCTGCACAGAATACTCTCTTCTCTTTCCAGACTACGAGAAAGGGGGAAGGGAGCCTATGAAAGGAGCACCTAGTTTCTCCGGTCAGTGGACCGTGTTCAAGTTTAACAGTAAGTCTGGCCCTGCAAATGACACTGATCTGGTCTTCCTTTTTAAAAGATGAAATACAGAAGAAATAAAGCCTGGGAAAATCTGATCCCCTTGATCTGAAAAGGAAAGGGACCGCATTAGGCCATATACTGACAAAGATCAAATTCGGCGGAGGGATCGTACAAGAGTGTGAACAGCATGACGATGCAAAGGACGGCCCAAGACGCAACAGCAGCGTACGCATGCAGCTCGTTCTTGAGGACTTGTGGAAAGCAGGGTTGGGTGTGCACAACACGGAGCAGGCCAGGACGCAAGCCAGGGCGGTCCCAGGCCTTCAGCTGAGCATCTTGTGCCGGTCGAAGACCGTCTTCCTCTGCTCCTGGACCTGCCTCTTCCAGCGCTGCTGCGCCCCCTCCACCCTCTCCAGCACCGAGTTCGCTCGGCCCAGCCTGGCGCTGGCGGAGGAGCGCGCGTCCTGCCAGGGAGAGACAGACACAGAGGCACGGTTTACCCCTCGCTGGACAGAGAGAAGAAAAGGAGAATTTTAGCGTGTGAAGACATTTTTTTCTGATTTCAAAATGCGACTTGTGCAGCTATTAGAAATTGTGGGCCTTCTGTCCAAGGCATATCAATAAAACAGAGATGTAGTGTGTAAATATACAAACTCTGCAGCCCAGTTCCTTTTTTCTGCACTCAAGTTGAGCACGTCATTAGAGCCACGTTTGTTTGCACGGCTGGAATGGAGTATAGACCTCATTTGTTTTGGATAAATATTTTATGAATGATCAGAGATAATGGGCTTCTCTCATCATAAGCAGCTCAAGCCGGATATGAAAACAAGACAGCTGCTCAATCACTGGCACTGGCTCCACCTGACAACAAACCCTTCAGTCGTCTTTCAAGCTCACAAGTGCTTCGGCACAGCAAGCTGGGAACAAAAAACAAAAAACAAGGCAAAACGAAAAGAACAAATCCCCCCCCCCATCCTACAGTTCTCAATTCCCGGTCTCCTTCCCTTCCAATCTTGCAAGATCAAACGCGTGCATGGTCAAATCAGAGGAGGAGTGAGATCATTCAGCCTTGAGGCTCAAACTTGAAATCATCACCTCGGTGATGCAGAGTTGGGAGTGCAGAGAGACACTCTTGACAATGCAGGGCCTGTTTTGATGGAGAGGGTCTTCCACACAATGTGAACAAATCTTTAAAACAAACGTCAGTGCAAAGGATTTGTAAATGAAACAGCAGTAATTTTTAAAATGCAAAAAACAAAACTGTCAACCTTAACAATAAATAAAACAGTGTATAATTTATAATAGCCTAAAAACCTAAATCAGGAAAACAAATTTGTAATGGTACTAAGACTTTAAATGCCCTTTTTTAAAAGGCTCACTGGACTGTAAAAGGACTGAAGATAGTTCATGACTTTTCCACACTGTTAACCACCCACCACTGACACCAGTTTTCCCTTCATAGTTTCCAAGAAACTGAGAGCCATTAACTCTTAGCTGAATAATGGATTTTAATACAAATAAACATTTTACATAAACTTAGATGTGTTGATGTTCTATGGTTGGGCTGGAAGAAAGCACCCCTCACCACCAGCACTTGCGTGTATTCTTATGGGGAATTTGTTTTCAATTTTTGTTTCTGATGAACACAGCATTTTTCAGGAAAGCATCTGCCATACCAATCCAGAACTGCTACTGCTCAGTGCATAGAAATACAGCAGTGCATTTGAAAGTTGAGATTGCCTACAGTCCTCACTTTCTTGATTAAGAAGCAGCTTTCTCATTGAATTACTTTAAATGTTTAGCAAAAGTTTCAGGTGCTCCAATGTCACAGACTCCTAAGGTTGGGATGTTAGACAGCTTCCCATGAGGCTTCAACAACAGGATGATTAAACAGGAAGCGTTTTATTAAAAGGTCACCAGGGAGTTATGGGTCTGATTTCCTCAGCACTAGATGAAGTGTGAGGAGACGACTGGGTTTGTGTTTATCTTCGGAGGTACAGCAACTGTACTTTTCAACAGTTCGAAAAAGGAATCAGAGCCTAGGGCTTCATCATTGCTAGTATGGCACTGTAACTGCTTGGCACACAGGTGTTCTGAGTGGGACTGAAGGCCGGGGAGCTGGGACCAGGTGTGCTTTTAAGAGCAAGTGATGATCACCCACTTCACACCTCAGCCCTGCTCCTGGCCCGGACATGCAGTCATCCGTTCCCGGACAAGTCAGGAACTTAAAAACACGACCTACCAAGCACCTCAATCCCAGCGGTTTTTCCTTCTGGGGACCATATTCAACGGCTTGTGGGAGGGAGTGTTGTTCAGGGGTTGGAGATCAGAGGGCTCCGTCACTCAGCAGGACAGCACCCCTGTCCCAGACGAGCCATCACTGTGATAAACAACCCTCCCAAACTCAGAGCCTGTCAGCAGGCCTCTTTCCACACTAGACCCTGTGCGTTGGAAGGGCTATATGGCCTTTCGGGGAGGGAGGGAATGAGTCTGGGAAATGGATCAAAGCCTCACCGCTTAGAAACGTGTGCCACAGAACTAGCCGCCATGATGAGAACTCTTGCCTCTTGTTTAGAAAAGCTACGTTAAAAACATCGAGGGACAAGTAAAGGGCAAGAACGCAGACATGGAAGACCGGATTTATCTCTGTCCTGAAGAGCACCGAAAAGGTAAACATTACTTTGCGGCCGTCTTGTAGGAAGAGGAGTCTGCCTGCGACACCCCTTTCGCCCCTGGACAGGATACCGGTTCCTTAATTAAAAGGCGCCCCCCTCCCCCCACACAGATACACGTCTGACACGATTTATCCCTTGTTTCCATGTTTTGATGGAAGTCTAAGCCCGCCTCTTAGAGGGGATTAGGAACATCCCAGAGAGTGCTGGGATTTCCGGGTGCTGGCGCTCTGAACCCCTGCCAGCTCCGCAGGTTGGATTAGCCCCGTCAAAGGGACCCGCTGGAGGAGAGCGAACAGGACACAGTGCGGGACGGCTGTTATTAGACAAATGGATACCTGCAGTCCTCCGTCTCCTTCTTTCAGCCTGTCGCCTATTGATAATACAAAGGAAGACATGGCAGCTTCTCGTGAATTGATTTTCAGCTGCAGGGTTGTTTGGAAGAGCCGCCAGATTGTCATTGTCATCTTGGGGCAGTAAAATGAGTTTCAATAGAATCAAAAAAATAAATAAAATGGCAGCAGAACCACCACTCCAAGATCCATGAAACAGAATCCTTTCTTGGCCAAAATGTTTACATTTTAAGGCACCCATAACTTCAACTTCAACTTAATTTAAATACGTGAAACTTTCAAGGAAATAATTTATTGCACCTTTAAAGTTTAGTGAACTGTTTCATCTCATGGGAAGATCAAGGGTTTGGATTTTAAAGAGATTCACTACATTATTTATAAGTCTGATAAACTGTTTGTTATACTATTCTTTTCTGACAGTATTTCTTCCATCATTGTTGATCACTAAACCAGCCTAGTCAGTAGCACTTAAGATTTCAATCGATTTAACAAAGACACTGCATACGAGGTCTTGTTTTTGCAATTCCAGACTTCATCTATGGAGTTGTACTTGTGAGGTTATTTTCAGACTGAAAACTGACACAGGGGTTCGAGTTCCTAAGATATCGGGGAAAGAGTGTGTAAGCCCCAGACTGTGAGATAACTGCACTGTGCCCAGGAGCAAGCCAGGAGTTCAAACAGCACAAAGCAACCTGATATAGACAGAGCCATATTTACATTAAGAGACGTCTTTCACCATGCCCAGCTGGTTTTATTAGACTTAATTAAAATAAAAGCTTTTGATTAATGGAATGGGCTAGCAGTAACAGGTAGGGGGAATGCAGCTGTGGCCTGGGGCTCTTCACTCATTTAAGAAATAAATTCAGATATGAAGAAAAACTATGTACAATCTGCATAAACAAACTTTGCACGAGTGAAAGATCCTAATTCAGGGGTGTCCAGCCCAAATTTGTAGAGAACTACCTGGATCTCCTAGTTTTGATATCCAGTCCCTACAAGGACTGGGACTCTTAAGGACTATGGTTTGAGACCTGTTATTGCAAGTGGTTTAACAGACCACAAAGGAGTTAGTAAGGCACCTTGACTCACTGAACTTAGTGGGCCAAGAGGAATGCTTAAGTCCAAAACCTAGTAACCAGGACATATTTCATACTGTGTTTAATACTATGCTCTGCTGTGTCTGAAGTAGAGAATTGTGGTTTTAGTAAAGCTCAGACGCATAATTCAGGTAGTGATGTGGTACTATGCCTGATGCCATATAAGACTGCAAAGCAGTTGAGCCAAGACAGCAAGGTTAAATGCCCTGTTCTTACGAACAATGTCACAGAGTCCTTGATGACTAACAAATAAGTCAGGGCCTCAATTTAACATCTCATCCAAATAATGAAATTTAAAATTGTGTATACTCAATCTTTGATATATGTAACACATTAATACAATTCTTTTAGAACAAAATAAATGTTAACAGCCCGTTACAGATGTCACCTATTGTTATTGTAATCATGACAACTAAGCCCTCTCCTGCATTTATAGGTTCCCATTTCATTATCCTGCTGGTGATGCTGCTAGGTAACGTGTTTGGTTGCTAAAATAAGACCTAATACCCGTTGTCCTGGGTATATTCCTATGCTATAAGATGTTTGGTCGGTTTGTCACAGTTCTCATCAACAAGTCCCTGAAATTTGGTACCTAAAAGCAGAAATCTACTGCAGTCACACCTGTGATAAAAGCAACCGGGCCAGTCTGGTAGTGTATCAGTCACCTATCAGGGGTCTATGCCTGCCTAGCTTTGCTATCTCCACTTCAGGTACTGTAAGTTGCGTTGAACAGTGCTTGTACCATCCTTCAATTACAAGAGCTGCTACACTGCAATTAGCGCAAATTACACCCCATTCATCTTTTAACCCCTGTGCCCAGGCATTTCCTCAAAATGCTACCTTACCTTTACAGCCCGTCGGAACGGCACTTTAATAATTAGTTACACCTTACTGTTTCCTCTCATCACACAGACCACCCAGTCTCTCTCACACGCTCAACCAAAACCAAAGAAGCAGAAAAAAAAATAAAAAGACATGCACAGAAGGGAAACAAATGAAAACAAAAATACAGAACAAGGGCCAAAGCTGAACAGGGCACAAACAGTCCTAGCGGGCAAGGCAGAAGAAAAAGCTTTTAAAATAGCATGAAAACCAATAAACAAAGGCAACAAGCTGGAGGCAGATCAAAGAACAACACCAGAGTTACAGCGGGGAGCTGAAGAGCCAGTATAAAACACAAATTTTACCAAATCCTTTGGGCCTCCCAAGCTGCTTTTCAAACCACGTATTAGGAAGGTGACATTCTCCGTGCCAACTGTAGCTGATATTTTTATTTCTACTGTACTTCAACAGTACAGGGGATCAAGTATCCCAGAAAATCGGACAATAAGGAACACAGGAGAGCTCCCAATCTGTATAAGCATGTTTTCTATCGGTTTGATCTGCTCTGTGCTTAATAAAAGTGATTAAGGGACACTGACGCATTGCTACTGTACCTTGATGGGAAGGGAAAAAAACACCCTCTAAACTGGATACCTTATGAGAATAATGTGAAAGCGCAAAGCAGACTTGGTCTTAATTGTTAGCAAACTTAAAAGACTTCACCTTGTTCAAAACTAAGGCCAAGTTCTGGCACTCCAGGTGGCGCCAATCCTGCCGTATCGCTCACACTCGGTGCTGAGGATTTTTACAGTGGTTGTCTGTGGTTCTTAATGTCCTTAAGTTCTTAATGGCTCAGGGACCTTGTGCTTTCTAGGTCTTCTAATTTCTCATGTACTGTACCTAGTCACTCGATGTGAACTTGTTGATATAGAATGCATACTGACAACTTGTTCTTGGATATCATCCTCAGTCAACTGAAGGAACTTGTCAGGAATTCTGCATCACTAGATTCTTTTCAAACTAAAGATGGGCTCCATTTACCAATGTCGGATGGCATTACATTCAGTCTCGGGTATTTTCTCAAGCCCGAATTTGAGAAACTATGCGCAATTTCATCAGACAGATTGGGAAACAAAGTGAGAAAAGTGTTGGAGGGCCATGAGATTGCTGGGGGTCTCTTCTCATCAACAGCACAATACACATTTGAATAAACAGAGGGCCGCGGAGGTAAGGCCTAAGCTATGCTCGCAGGATCGGGGTGCACAGGGGTGTGGGGCAGCCGGGTACCTCGCTGTCCTCCTCGTTGCGCAGCGGCTGGGTGTAGGATTCGTGTTTGCGGATCAGCGGGTCAACCAGCAGCAGGAACATCATGTAGAGGAGCAGGGATCCCACCACAGACAGATAGATAATGATGGTCACCTGGGAGAGGGGCACACGGCACAGACTGTACATCCTCAGAAGGGATCTAGCAGAAAGGAATGCTTGCCCCTGATGCAGACGGTTCACCTAGAATATGGCTGGGGGTATGCACACATGCCTAAAATATATTAGCAGTGCAGAGTAGCTTGATGAATTCTGAAGGCCAGGAAACAGAGACGGGCATTGGTTGATGGCCAGTGCAACATCTAGTATATGATAGTTCAGTGTGAAGGGCACCCTTCTTTGCAAAGTGCTTACAGTGTCAGGTGTTGGCCTAGAAATCTACCTAACCGGTTCTGTCATTCCTGACATGTGTCATGAAAACCACAGTATTAAACCTGCAGATCTTCAAGATATTCTTGATATTACCGTTTTTTTAAATGCCCCCCCCCCCCCTAAAGTAATCAAGGAATTAATTTCTTCAGTAGAAAGTAATCGAGAAAATAACGTAAATAACATCAGGAGTCCACTGTGCATGGCACAGCTTTATCTAGGGTCACTATGCCTTAATCTTTTACTTTGTGGTCACAATTGTGTGATATTGCTGTTGCATTATCTTTATCTTGCAGATGGCCTGAAATTTATAAGCACCAGAATTATATATTGGGTAATACTCCTACAAGATGAAGTGAGTCAGCCTCAGACCCTTTTGTGCAAACCCTGTGGCATATAGGACCACATAGCCATATATTTGGGAAGTTGTTTCAAGTGCTCTCTTTTGCCTTTGGACTAAAGGGACAAGTCAGTCTGTCTGCATGACCTGCTCTGTGCATCTAATTCAACAAACCAAGGACTGAGGGGTGGGAACTTTCTCAGTTAGGCCTGGCTTTGCCGAGCTGGAGGACTGCAAGGATGAAATTTTAGCGAGGCTGCACTGCAGACACAGAAGCACGGAGCACACTGATGAGGTGGGGACGATGAAGGTGATGGTGGTGGTGATACCTTGATGGTGGTGCTGCTCCGTTCTTCATACTTGCACTCGCACAGCAGGCAGTAGGCCTCCACATCGTGGCCCGGCACTGGCATGGGCTCCACCACGTGCAGGCAGTTACTGTACACAGCGACAGTGGATAGACCCAGTTAGACTGAGCAGAGCCAGGGAGCGTACAGTCCCTGGATAACGTATACCCACTGTCTTTCCAAAAGACATCAGGACATTAGGGAATTCTCCAAGCACATCATGGTGCATGCAGCATTGTTAAAGATCTATGGGTTGTGACCTACTGTATAATTTGACAGGCTCTTTGAAACCAATTATTAATTTTGCTTCTGGTAAATGTTCGGACTAAAAGATGTCAGATCTCTGCAATTACAGAAAGATAGAGGATGCTGGCTGTGGCTCCTTGACAGCTCTGTTTTACACGATGTCTGTAAAAGAATGAAATATAGCATAGGGAACTGACTTTTAAGAGCCTGGCTTTCGGAAAGCAGGGCAAGTATTCAAACACACACTGTACAGATGATTGCGTAGAGGAGCTGTTTATAAAATACTGTGCCCCGGTTGTGTAAACACCTAGGCCAGCTCTTACCAGTCTTTCTGAGACACATTCTTGTTGTAGATGTGCCCGCTTATGTCCCTGTAAGGAGGGCAGATACACTTGCAGCGCACATCTTCAAAACTCTGAAAACACACAAGAGGAAGACGGTCTACCCTCAGTTGCCCTCAGCACTGCTGGTCATAGAGGCGCATTTCATATCGGACATTTTTTTGTAATATTCAGAGACCAAGAGGCCCCTGGTCTGGTATATTCTTGGGATGAAAACAACAGTGATTTGCATGCAACCCTAGAGATAGTGTAGCCTCTTGTGACAGGGTGTCTGCATAAGAACGGATTTGCACAATGTTTATTTTTAAAATTAGACAACACTTGTTAGGAGACCAATTTGTACTAGTAAGGAACTGCTCTAATTGGTCTATACAGAACAGTAAAGGCCTTTAATTGTACAGGAACATATGGAATATTCAGGTAGCAAAGTTATGGGTGGGTAGAAAGTGTGGCAGCTTGAGGGAATTGCTTGCCAATACTGCCATCTAGTGGCAATATTAAAATGCAGAATGCTGAAATAGAAGTGATGAGAGCCTGATAGCAGCTGATAGTCTTTTTAAAGATGGACACAAGTCACTTCAAAACAGATCAGTTGTTTTATTAGGAGATGGTGGGGGAAACTTAACCATAAGAGGACATACTGTATGTAATTTGGACATGAACAACTGCTGTCCAGCCACTGATTAGCTATTACTAAATAATCTTCAATGCAGATGGCATGTTCAGTGTAGTTGGTTCCTTTCATGCCAGATGACAAACACACAAACCTCTTCTATAGTCTGTCTTCCTCTTATTTGTAGTGGTGTCCAGGATGTACATTTATAGTGTAGTGTGGACATAAAATTTGGCGGAGCGGTGGCTAAGGATCTGCACCTGTGGCTGGATGGTTGCCGGTTCGTAGCCCGTGGCCGGTAGAGGAATCCTACTCCATTGGGCCCCTGAGCAAGGCCCTTAACCCCAACTGCTCTAGGGGTGCAGTATAAATGGTTGACCCTGCGCTCTGACCCCAAGCTTCTCTCCCTGTCTGTGTGTCTCATGGAGAGCATGCTGGGATATGCGAAAAGACAAATTCCTAATGCAAGAAATTGTATATGTATAAACAATAAAAGTGATCTGAATCAAGCATTGAGCAAATGACCCTGTGCACCCGAGCATTCCCAGTCAGCTTCCCAGTCAGCTTGTGTGAAGTGTACTCGGCTCGTGCGAGTGGGGGTGTTTTACCTTGCTGGCCTGCGCCAGGGGGGTGAATCCGCACAGCACACAAGCCAGGAGCAGGGGGAGAAGGAAGCCGAGGCTCCTCGCAAGGTCACACATGGACATGGCGACACGGCGGCGCACGAGGGGGCTCTGTGGGACACAAGCGCTGCTCAGACCTTGGGTGCAAAAAACGATGAGACCGAGCGCCGCGTGGTGGAGCAGCACGCCCGGAGTCTGGGGTGCGACTCAGCTGGTACCAAAAGAAGAGGGCTGGTATAATTCTGGGGGCTGGTGATGAGGCACCTTTGCGTAGTACTGCACTGTCTCCTGACTGCATTCTTTGTGTGTACCTACAGTATAAATCTGTCCGCAGGTGTGGTTGTATATACTGTACAGCACAGTATACTGTACATGGGGGTCGCACTAGAGGCCTGAAATAACCTTCAAGTGTTGCATAAAGCTTTCAATTGTGTTTTGTAGAACAGTGTATTGTATTGGTAATTCTTTTTTAAAAATGCCTTATTTTACAGAAACTCCATTTATCCATTTAACTCAGGAGGGAGGGAACATTGCGTCTCTTTAAAAGCCCTTAATCCGACTTGTTCACAGGCCAGCGAAAATCTCACAATGGTTGTAATCCGAATGTAAAACTAGAAATTTTACTGAACACTATATACTGTGAAATTAAATGTAGAATTCAACATTTGTGCAAGTTGTTTTTATATAATTCTGCTCTTTCTGTGGGGATGGGTGGGAGTCCTATTAAAGGGATTATTTTGCTCAGTTCGGGCTGCAGAGGAATTCTGACAGCAGGGCTGCCACCTTCCAGGTTGATCTCTTCACATCTCCGAAAAGAAGCAGGGCTTGGTTAGGTCAGTACTGGAACAGGAGACTTCAGAGGAAAAACTGGCTGCTCCTCTAAAGATTGGAGGTGGACAACGGCGCACGCCTCAGATATACAGTATCATATCTGATATATTTCTGTCGATTTGAGGCGAGTTGGTGATTTTTCCCCCCTTGACCAGAACTTCCAAAGCAATGGCCCAGTATAGTGACCCAGGACCAGCTCCTGCTGACCTCTTGGTCATTGAAGATCCCAGGACTCTAGGAGTGTTAATCCCTAGTGCCCTGGCTACACTGCTCTCTTGGCTTGCCCACTCTGGCCTACAGTACCTAAAGTTTCCCCTCAACCCAACTGGTGAGGCAGTTTCTCACTCTTACCCATGATGTGCTGCGGGGCAGCTGGTGCAGAACACCTTCCCTGGGTCACCTGCGTGTAAAATACTTATAAATGCAATTATTGATCATTATTTGTATTCCTCATAAAATTCATTAGAAATTAAAATCGAATGTAGAAAAAAACACGCAACAGCATGTCCTTCAGGTGGCCGGGTAAATCGGCTCCAATCTCAGCCTTTTCTTTTCAAACGCGCTCAGTCCGGTGAAACAGAAAGTCTGACAGCAAGTGAGGTGAGATAGCAAGTCAGTGCCCTATTAGTATTACAGTAAGTCACTGCATCCGAAGCTACAGTAAATGCCGAGACCATACACGGGCCTACCAATGATGACAATGTGAGGTTAATGGAATAACAATAGTAAACTGAGCTGTGTGTATTGCTTTTACATGAACCACGCGAGCGATCTTAAGTCTGATATTTGTGAATACAATCTGTTTTTAAGACGTCTCACTACCCACTAAACGCCACCTCCACACATGTCATGGCGCATCGCAAGGTGGTGACCACAGAGGCAGTCATACTGTACATGTCAATATACAAAATACAAATATACAAAAACACCTTTCATGCACACGTCGGTAAATGCGAAACCTGTCCACTGCCCACAGACAGGAGATAAATGACAGCAAAGGCTGTCATTTAGAGTGTCACAAGACCGTGCAATTTACAAATCAAAACGGAACCTGTTCTGCAGAAGCATACGTTTTGTACACAGCACCATTGTTAGGGTCCCTCACTGACAGCAGAAGCAAAAAAAAAACGTGACTTCGGGTAACTCAAGGAGACATTGTAAATACTGTTCTGCAAGCAATCGCGCACCGCTCAGGTAGGTTTTCCTATTGTCTTTTTAAAATAAAATAACTCGATATACAGAAGCGGTCCCTGTTCACATACCTTCTCCCCTTTCGTCAATTCGTTCGGATTCCTTAAGCCGAGCGGTCTCTATTCGCGTTGGAAGAGAGCATTGACTGTTCTTCCTCTGGACACGCCTGCTTCCTTGCGATTGGTAAATCTGACACATTTCCCTTATTCCTATTGGTCTATGTCACCTCAACTGCAGAGCGTGAATGACGCACCAATAATAAAGAGGAATATTTTTTTCCCGTTTAACAGATAGCTTCGATTGCTTTTCCTACATTAATTCCTAAAATGT